TTTTTTTAAAGGACGGGGGGGGGGGGGAGCGTACGTAGAACAGAAGAAAACAGAGCAATGTGTACAAATGTCTCCAGCAAGTGAGATCATACAAACATCAGCTAGGTAAAGAACAAAGTCTGAGTCCAGGGGCACCTTGAGGCCCGACGAAGTCTAATTCTGGGTATAAAAGCTTTTGTGTGTGCAGGCACATTGTATTTCATGTGCATTTTGTGTGTACATTTCGTGTGCATGCGCACTGTATCTGAAGAAGTGTGCACGCACATGGAAGCTTATACCCAGAATTAAACTTGTTGGTCTTGTAGGTGCCCCTGGACTCAACACTTCGTTCTGTTGTCTCACAGGGGAGATCCCCGGCATCTCCAGTTAAAAAGATCAGGTAGGAGGTGATGTGGAAGACCTCCGCCTGAGACCCTGGGGAGCCATGAAATGGGGCTGTAGCTCAGTAGAAGAGCCTCTGCTTGGCACGCAGAAGGTCCCAGGTTCAATCGCCGGCATCTCCAGTTAAAAAGATCAGGTAGGAGGTGATGTGGAAGACCTCCGCCTGAGACCCTGGGGAGCCATGAAATGGGGCTGTAGCTCAGTAGAAGAGCCTCTGCTTGGCACGCAGAAGGTCCCAGGTTCAATCGCCGGCATCTCCAGTTAAAAAGATCAGGTAGGAGGTGATGTGGAAGACCTCCGCCTGAGACCCTGGGGAGCCATGAAATGGGGCTGTAGCTCAGTAGAAGAGCCTCTGCTTGGCACGCAGAAGGTCCCAGGTTCAATCGCCGGCATCTCCAGTTAAAAAGATCAGGTAGGAGGTGATGTGGAAGACCTCCGCCTGAGACCCTGGGGAGCCATGAAATGGGGCTGTAGCTCAGTAGAAGAGCCTCTGCTTGGCACGCAGAAGGTCCCAGGTTCAATCGCCGGCATCTCCAGTTAAAAAGATCAGGTAGGAGGTGATGTGGAAGACCTCCGCCTGAGACCCTGGGGAGCCATGAAATGGGGCTGTAGCTCAGTAGAAGAGCCTCTGCTTGGCACGCAGAAGGTCCCAGGTTCAATCGCCGGCATCTCCAGTTAAAAAGATCAGGTAGGAGGTGATGTGGAAGACCTCCGCCTGAGACCCTGGGGAGCCATGAAATGGGGCTGTAGCTCAGTAGAAGAGCCTCTGCTTGGCACGCAGAAGGTCCCAGGTTCAATCGCCGGCATCTCCAGTTAAAAAGATCAGGTAGGAGGTGATGTGGAAGACCTCCGCCTGAGACCCTGGGGAGCCATGAAATGGGGCTGTAGCTCAGTAGAAGAGCCTCTGCTTGGCACGCAGAAGGTCCCAGGTTCAATCGCCGGCATCTCCAGTTAAAAAGATCAGGTAGGAGGTGATGTGGAAGACCTCCGCCTGAGACCCTGGGGAGCCATGAAATGGGGCTGTAGCTCAGTAGAAGAGCCTCTGCTTGGCACGCAGAAGGTCCCAGGTTCAATCGCCGGCATCTCCAGTTAAAAAGATCAGGTAGGAGGTGATGTGGAAGACCTCCGCCTGAGACCCTGGGGAGCCATGAAATGGGGCTGTAGCTCAGTAGAAGAGCCTCTGCTTGGCACGCAGAAGGTCCCAGGTTCAATCGCCGGCATCTCCAGTTAAAAAGATCAGGTAGGAGGTGATGTGGAAGACCTCCGCCTGAGACCCTGGGGAGCCATGAAATGGGGCTGTAGCTCAGTAGAAGAGCCTCTGCTTGGCACGCAGAAGGTCCCAGGTTCAATCGCCGGCATCTCCAGTTAAAAAGATCAGGTAGGAGGTGATGTGGAAGACCTCCGCCTGAGACCCTGGGGAGCCATGAAATGGGGCTGTAGCTCAGTAGAAGAGCCTCTGCTTGGCACGCAGAAGGTCCCAGGTTCAATCGCCGGCATCTCCAGTTAAAAAGATCAGGTAGGAGGTGATGTGGAAGACCTCCGCCTGAGACCCTGGGGAGCCATGAAATGGGGCTGTAGCTCAGTAGAAGAGCCTCTGCTTGGCACGCAGAAGGTCCCAGGTTCAATCGCCGGCATCTCCAGTTAAAAAGATCAGGTAGGAGGTGATGTGGAAGACCTCCGCCTGAGACCCTGGGGAGCCATGAAATGGGGCTGTAGCTCAGTAGAAGAGCCTCTGCTTGGCACGCAGAAGGTCCCAGGTTCAATCGCCGGCATCTCCAGTTAAAAAGATCAGGTAGGAGGTGATGTGGAAGACCTCCGCCTGAGACCCTGGGGAGCCATGAAATGGGGCTGTAGCTCAGTAGAAGAGCCTCTGCTTGGCACGCAGAAGGTCCCAGGTTCAATCGCCGGCATCTCCAGTTAAAAAGATCAGGTAGGAGGTGATGTGGAAGACCTCCGCCTGAGACCCTGGGGAGCCATGAAATGGGGCTGTAGCTCAGTAGAAGAGCCTCTGCTTGGCACGCAGAAGGTCCCAGGTTCAATCGCCGGCATCTCCAGTTAAAAAGATCAGGTAGGAGGTGATGTGGAAGACCTCCGCCTGAGACCCTGGGGAGCCATGAAATGGGGCTGTAGCTCAGTAGAAGAGCCTCTGCTTGGCACGCAGAAGGTCCCAGGTTCAATCGCCGGCATCTCCAGTTAAAAAGATCAGGTAGGAGGTGATGTGGAAGACCTCCGCCTGAGACCCTGGGGAGCCATGAAATGGGGCTGTAGCTCAGTAGAAGAGCCTCTGCTTGGCACGCAGAAGGTCCCAGGTTCAATCGCCGGCATCTCCAGTTAAAAAGATCAGGTAGGAGGTGATGTGGAAGACCTCCGCCTGAGACCCTGGAGAGCGGCTGCCGGTCTGAGTAGGCAATGGTGACCTTGTTGGATCAATTGGTCTGGTCAGTATAGGGCAGATTCATGTGTTCGTGTGTGTGTGTTCATTAAAATAAACTCTCCTCCTAAACATACCTCATTAAGATAAATTCAGGTGGGGCACCTTTAAGACCAAACAAGTTTAATTCTGGGTATGAGCTTTTGTGTGCATGCACACTTCTACAGATACATCGAAACAGGTCTCCTCAGGCCTTACAGAGAGGTAGGAAGCGAGGAGGGTTAGTTGCCGGGAAGGACTGATCAGAGTCAAGATGTATAAGTAACTGGGCGATATGCATAGCTGAGACTGGAGTAAAGCAGTGTTTTTAAAGCGGTGGCTCAGAGGTTAAGGCGCTGAGCTGCAGATCAGAATATCTGTAGTTCAGCAGCTCGAGACCCGAGTGCCGTGTGACGGAGTGAGCTCCCGTCTCTGGCCCCAGCTCCTGCCAACCTAGCAGTTTGAAAGGAAGACATTGAAAATAGATAAATACATACCACATCGGTAGGAAGGTAACAGCGTTCCGTGCACCTCGGCATCTAGTTATGCCAGCCACATGACCACAGAGAAGTCTTCGGACAGGGCTGGCTCTTCGCCTTGGAAACGGAGATGAGCACCGCCCCCTAGAGTCGGATTCGACTGGCTTTCGAGCGAGGGGAACCTTGACCTGTACTTTTTAACTTTTGTTTAAAAGCCCAAATTATGACTTTATGACTGAAGGGGGAGAAAACCTACATGTCAGAAACGGACAGCCATATCTACCTTTTTCGCTGCTCGGGTCGGAACAGGTGTGGAAGGATCTTGGCTCCCACTTGGGCTGCCGCTTGAGACGCTATCGATGTCAACGTTTGGGAGCACCTGGAAAGGGGAAAGGACAACCCACAAATGCATCAGACGACTTTCCCGATGTTCTGTCACACAAGGAGGACGGGCGTCCCACACGCTCTTCATCTCGTACACTGTGAAGCGTCTGGCCAGGGGCACACGATACGTGGTTGGGCCACAACTGGGCAGCGCTGGGAGCCAGAGGCCAAGCTGTCCTGTGGATATCACCGCCTGCTGTTCTCCAGCGTGAGTCGTTCGAAAACAGAGACGCCAGCGTGGAACTGCTAAATTAGAATTTTTCTCCCCACCCCACCGCTGCCCCAACTGAGGGGCTGAGCAAGAATCTAGGATAACTTGACCCAGGCCCATAGCTACAGTGAACCGTTGGGGGCCCCACCCCTCCTTCTTAAAGGCACAGCCTCACAAGAATTTCATCTGTAAATGCTTTTTTTCAATCATTTAAATACTTCTTCTTTTTTTTTTAAGCCATGCACTCCTTTAAGCAGAGTGGGGGTGCAGCAGTTGACCAATCCCCGCGCTGAGCAAGGGGGTTGGAGTAGGTGACCTCTAGGGTCCCTTCTAACTCTGTGTCAAGCAACTGGCCTCCTTTCAGAGAGTTTTTCTGCCTGAGTGTTCGCTTTCTGGACTCTAGAAGTCATCACCCCCACCTGCTGGCTTGTTCTCAGAATGGTTGCTTCAGCTGGCAGAAGCGATTAACCTGCAGCAGCTGAGAGCTGTCATCTAAAGTGGTTGGCAGCTTGCAATTTAGAGATCTGTCCTGGTAACAGCTTTCTTTAGGCTAAATGGCTTTTCTTTCTAGTTACTTCTTTGATTGGCTCAACTTCGTCAGGGGCCTCGCTTCAAATCCCGTATCTCTATTCCCCTCCCGCCTACAGAGTTAGTTCTGACACAGAATATAGGCACAGATGACTTGCCATCACTGTACTCAATAAACTTAAACCTTTTTGAAGGAATGTTGTTGAGAACCGATTGCTGCGAGACTCTGACAATTTATACCCCACCTTGTTCTGACCTTGTTCTCCTCTTCTTCATTTTATCCTCACAAAACAGCCCTGTGAGGTAGGCTAGGCTGAGGGTGCGCGACTGGCCCCAGGACACACCGCAAGTTTCCAGAGCACAAGTGGGGATCTGAACCTTGGTCTCCCGGATCGCAGCCGAAAACGGTAAGCCCGAATGGCCACTCAAAACGGCAAGTGGTCATCGAGAGAGACCGCTCACCCAAAAGACCATGGAAATAATTTCAACAGAAATGGCAAGCTTTTTATTCCTACTATGGAAACAACTTTTTTTTTTTTAAAGTTCTGGAACTACCTGAATATCATATTAAAGGTGATGAAGATATTGCTTATAAGGTTTTTACAACGGTTTAATTTTAGTATAGAAGTCTGTTCAATTGCTCAAGATATAACTTCCTCCATCGTTAATGGACTATTGTCAACCTTAGGAAATTTTCTGTCTATTTTCATAAAGAGAGAATCTAGCCCAGATTTTGTAATTCTGGAATATTCAAGTTTTATCGTTTGCTCTTACATTTGAAATATGTAATACATTCGGTAATATATCTGATTTTACTTGTTTTACACATAACAATTCATGACACTTAAGAAATTTGATGAATCCATAGTTCTCCCCTGCCCCCTTAATAGATTATCATTACCCTTAGGGAAGTTTCTGTCTTTTCTTAAAGAGAGAATCTATCCCAGATTTTGTAATTCTGCAATATTCAAGTTTTATTGTTTGCTTTTATATTTGAAATACGTAACACATTTGGTAATATATCTGATTTTACTTGTTGCACGTTAACAAATTCATAACACTTGAGAAATTTGATGAATCTATATTTCTCCCCTGCCCCCTTTTTCCCTCTGTATCCCACCCTTTTAAGAGAAAATAATAAAAATTCATTTATAAAAGAAAGGAGAGACCGCTGACCAATGCGCCTTCTAAGCTTTGGAATCTCATGAGCAAAAGTTCTCCTTTGGGAGCTACCGGCATTAAAGTTGTGAGCGAGAGATTTGGCTGCTGCATTAATTAGTTTGCTCTGGAGCCCTCCTTCCTGAGCTTAGACAAAAATGTGTGAGCTGGAGGCTGAAAAACTGTGAGCTGGCTCACACTAACTCAGCTTAGAGGGAACTCTGCCGCTGACCCATGGCAGCCAGGCTGACAACAGGATGGGCCGGGACGGCCCAAGAAAGACAGCGGCCTCAGATCCTTCCTGCTGCCCAAAGGCACCGCCCCCCCCGGTAGGTGTGGGCCCGGAGCAACTACCCCGAGGGTGCCGACCCTTGCAGCCGGCTCTGCTCATAGCCGACGACGATTAAAGAGCTGAAAAGAAACAGAGACAGGGATCTCCAAGTTACCTTTACCGATTCAGTCTAGTTCCTTACCTGCACAGAAAGCTTGGGTGGGTCCCTCTTCTCTGATTTCATCTCCACCACTGCGATGTTCGGCTTCTGCACACTTGGCTGTGGCTTCGGAGGAGCGGGAGGGATGGAGGTCGTCACGGTGACAGGGTGGAACTTGCCTATGATTATCCCCGAAGGTTCGGGCAAGATGCTGCTGCTTTGTTTCTGACCTAACGGGAATTCCCAAAGGCACAAAGAAGGAAAAAAAGGGGGTCTGTGTGATATGGAAGAGAAACGTCCTCAGAAAATCCTGAAGCAGAAGGCATATTGTAAACATAATAAAAATGAAGAAAAGCTGATCAGGGTCAAAGAATATAGACACCTTTCTAAGAATCCTAATTTCAAGACGGTTGAAGCAGACCTGTAACAGAGTTAAGAACAAAAGAAGAGCCCTGCTGGATCAGACAAGTGTTTGGACTAGTCCAGCATCCCGTCTCACACAGTGGCCCAAACCAGTTCCTCTGGAGGGCCAACAACAGGGCACAGAAGCAGAGGCCTTAAAAAGGGAACATCAGAAGAGCCCTGGTGGATCAGACCAGGGGTCCACCCAGTCCAGCATCCTGTCTCACACAATGGCCAACCAGTTCCTCTGGAGGGCCAACAATAGGGCACAGAGGCCGAGGCCTTCATAAGAACATCAGAAGAGCCCTGGTGGATCAGACCAGGGGTCCATCTGGTCCAGCATCCTGTCTCACACACTGGCCAACCAGTTCCCCTGGAGGGCCAACAACAGGGCACAGAGGCCGAGGCCTTCATAAGAACATCAGAAGAGCCCTGCTGGATCAGACCAGTGGTCCATCTAGTCCAGCGTCCTGTCTCACACAGGGGCCAACCAGTTCCTCTGGAGGGCCAACAACAGGGCACAGAGGCCGAGGCCTTCATAAGAACATCAGAAGAGCCCTGGTGGATCAGACCAGGGGTCCACCCAGTCCAGCATCCTGTCTCACACAATGGCCAACCAGTTCCTCTGGAGGGCCAACAACAGGGCACAGAGGCCGAGGCCTTCATAAGAACATCAGAAGAGCCCTGGTGGATCAGACCAGGGGTCCACCTAGTCCAGCATCCTATCTCACACACTGGCCAACCAGTTCCCCTGGAGGGCCAACAACAGGGCACAGAGGCCGAGGCCTTCATAAGAACATCAGAAGAGCCCTGGTGGATCAGACCAGGGGTCCACCCAGTCCAGCATCCCGTCTCACACAATGGCCAACCAGTTCCTCTGGAGGGCCAACAATAGGGCACAGAGGCCGAGGCCTTCATAAGAACATCAGAAGAGCCCTGGTGTATCAGACCAGGGGTCCATCTGGTCCAGCATCCTGTCTCACACACTGGCCAACCAGTTCCCCTGGAGGGCCAACAACAGGGCAGAGAGGCCGAGGCCTTCATAAGAACATTAGAAGAGCCCTGCTGGATCAGACCAGTGGTCCACCCAGTCCAGCATCCTGTCTCACACAATGGCCAACCAGTTCCTCTGGAGGGCCAACAACAGGGCACAGAGGCCGAGGCCTTCATAAGAACATCAGAAGAGCCCTGGTGGATCAGACCAGGGGTCCACCTAGTCCAGCATCCTGTCTCACACACTGGCCAACCAGTTCCCCTGGAGGGCCAACAACAGGGCAGAGAGGCCGAGGCCTTCATAAGAACATCAGAAGAGCCCTGCTGGATCAGACCAGTGGCCCCTCTAGTCCACCATCCTGTCTCACACAGTGGCCAGCCAGTTCTTCTGGAGGGCCAACAAAAGGGCACAGAGAATGTTGCCTCCTGGCTCTGGAATGCAGAGGCTGACTGCCTCCGAACTTGGAGGTTCCCTTTAGTCCCCATGGCTAGTAGCCACCGATAGACCTATCCTCCATAACAATTAAACCATCACATCTGATACCAGGTGTGTCCGGCACACCCTTAAATATTTACATCTGCCGGACAGACCATGCGCAGGCACATAAATGTCAAGAGACATTCTGCGGTCATGGAAGGGACGGGAGCACGCACAGACCCGGGGTCTGCTCCCTCAGTCTACTGCACACGAGAGCCACCAGGGTGAGGGCAAAGGGTGACTCAGCCTCAATCGGACTTTAAAATTAGGGGCTCGCGCTTGAAAGCCGACCAGGGTGCCTCTGAGAAAGTTCAGCTTCAGCTCAAGAAATATCAGAGATTATCCCAGCGAAGCGTGGTTAGGAGTCTGGACAAACACGGGTCAGGGATGTTCGAGGGTGGTCCTGCATTGAGTCCTGTACGGCCCCTCCCAACTCTGTGATTCTAAGACTCTATGACTCAGGCCGCTCATTCAGCAGGGTCACCCTGACTGCCGGAACCTGCGTGAGTTTAACTCGTTCCCCGCGTCTGCTTCTGTGGCTCTCCCAGTTCCAGGGTTTTTCTGTAACTCTGACGCTGCGGGATCAGAATTTCCCTTTGTTAAAGCTCTTCCATATCGCACAGCGCCATCTAGGGGTGGGAAGATGTACTTGTGGCAAATGGTGCATGCTTGTCAATCAAGCTGCTCCCCTTTTGCAAAAAGCTCAGAAGAAAAAACTAGGTGCAGGTCACTAAACAAAAAGCCTCTTTTCCTCTCCCGAACTCCCAAAGAGCAGCCTTGCATCATTCCGCTTTAAAACTGATAGAGAGCCAGTGTGGGACAGTGATTAAGAGTGTCGGGTTCAAATCCCCACTCCATCTAAGAAGCGGACAAAGAGGTGAGCATATTTTGGCAGCTGCCTGACTACCATATTTGCGCATATATACCAGCATGGTATAGTGGTTAGAAGTCCTGAACTAGTATCTAGGAGAGCCAGGTACGAATCCCAACTTGTGCCCTGGAAGCTGGCTGGGTGACCTTGGGCCAGTCACATTCTCTCGACCTAACCTACCTCACAGGGTTGTTGTGAGGACAAAATGGAGGAGAGGACAACGATGCGTCAGTCACTTCGGGTCCCCATTGTGGAGAAAGGTGGGGTACGATGAATTAAATAAAAAATAAATGTTAATGCTTTCCAGAACAGTCACTGGTGATCTTCTACTGGAATCAGCTGTAGGGTACCCAAAGTAGCCCAATCTCATCAAATCTCGGAAGCTAAGCAGGGTCAGCCTTGGCTAGTATTTGGAAGGGCGACCTCCAAGGAATACCAGGGCCGTGACGCACAGGCTGGCAATGGCAAAGCACCTCTGAAACGTCTCTTGCCTTAAAAACAAAAGTCTAGCTCGCCATCGTCTAGTGGTGCATAAAGCTAAAAGAGCTAGTACTTCCGGCTGCCAGACAATTTAGGATAAGAACAGAAGAGACGCCAGTGTTGGATCAGGCCAGTGGCCCATCCAGTCCAACACTCATGTCACACATTGGCCAAAACCCAGGTGCCATCAGGAGGTCCAGCAGTGGGGCCAGGACACGAGGAGCCCTCCCACTGTTGCCCTCCCCCCAAGCACCAAGAATACAGAGCATCCCTTGCCCCAGACTGAGAGTCCCTGTCTATACCTTGTGGCGAATACCCACTGATGGACCTCTGCACCATATGCTTATCCAATCCCCTCTTGAAGCCGTCCATGCTTGTAGCCGCCACCCCCCCCGTGGCAGTGCATTCCATGTGTTAATCACTCTTTGGGTGAAGAAGGACTTCCTTTTATCCGTTCTAACCTGACCGCTCAGCAATTTCATGGAGTGCCCACGAGTTCTTGTATGGATCGCCTGGTTATTCTACACACAATGCCATACGATAATTATTAATGAGCGGCAGGGTCTGCTCTCAAGCAGAGCAAGGGAAAGATGATCTCTTCACGGGGTTTGGTTCATACCTAATGGCACAGCCATGGGAATGAGATGGCCTTCCAGAGGGCCTGAGGCGTCAGGCGCCTCTCGGGTGGGGCTGAAGAGATACTGGTGTTCCCGACAAGGAGCGGAGTGCGGGCGTGGCTTTTTAGGACTGGCGGCTTTGCTGGGCACGCAGGGCCCCGTCTGCGTCCTCGCGGATCTTACTCTGGTACCTGGAAGGACAATTAAGCAACAATAAAGTCTTCAGCGAGCAGGAGCGGAGAAGGGACGGGGTTTTTAGAGAAGGCTTCAGGGACTGCGAGGTCAAAAGCAGAAGAACAGAAGCCAACAAAGAAGAGCCATGCAGGATCAGACCAGATGCCCACCTAGTCCAGCATCCCGCCTCACACAGTGGCCAGCCAGTTCCTCTGGAGGGCCCACAACAGGGCAGAGAGGCCGAGGCCTTCATAAGAGCATAAGAAGAGCCCTGCCGGATCAGACCAGTGGTCCCTCTAGTCCAGCATCCTGTCTCACACAGTGGCCAGCCAGTTCCTCTGGAGGGCCCACAACAGGGCAGAGAGGCCGAGGCCTTCATAAGAGCATAAGAAGAGCCCTGCCGGATCAGACCAGTGGTCCCTCTAGTCCAGCATCCTGTCTCACACAGTGGCCAGCCAGTTCCTCTGGAGGGCCCACAACAGGGCAGAGAGGCCGAGGCCTTCATAAGAGCATAAGAAGAGCCCTGCCGGATCAGACCAGTGGTCCCTCTAGTCCAGCATCCTGTCTCACACAATGGCTAGCCAGTTCTTCTGGAGGGACAACAACAGGCCATAGAAAGCAAGGCCTTCATTAGAACATCAGGAGAGAGCCCTGCTGGATCAGATGAGTGGTCCATCTAGTCCAGCTTCCTGTCTCACACAGTGGCCAGCCAGTTCCTTTAAAGAACCAACAAGAGGGCAGAGAGGCCAAGACCATCATTAGAACATGACAAGAGACCTGCTGGATCAGACCAGTGGTCTATCTAGTCCAGCATCCTGTCTGAAGACAGCAGCCAACCAGTTCCTCTGGAGGACCAACAACAGGGCCTAGAGGCTAAGGCCTTCCAATGATGTTGTCTCTTGGCTCTGGGATTTAGAGGCTTAGTGGCTCTGAAGGTGGAGGTTCCCCTCAGCCACCACAGCTAGTAGCCATTGATAGACTCGTTCTCCATGAATCTATCCAATCCCCTTTTCAAGCTGTGTATTCCTGTGGCCATCACCACATCCCCTGGCAGCAAATTCCACATTTTAATCACTCTCAGTTTACAGTAGTATTTCCGATTGCCCATCATGAATATGCTGATAAAGGATGTCTATGTCCATAGTTGTAAAGGGGAAAGGGATGGTAAATGTATTTTATACATCTTTGTATTTTATATTTCTTTGGTTATTTAAATAAAAATTCATAGGATGACCAGCCATTTTTTCTCCCGGCCTAGTCTGCCTCGCAGGGTTGTTGTTGTGGAAGTAAGATGGAGGGTGCAAGACCATGCATATCACCACAAGCTGTTTGGAAGAAGAGTGGGATGATTAAAAACAAACCCAAGAGGTTATTGGGAAATAAAAGCAGGGGGTATTCAATGCTCCCTCTAAGTTGTGGAGTCTTGTGAGCAAAACCTCTACTTTGTGAGCTACTGGCATTAAAGTTGTGAGTGAGCGATTGGGCTACTGCGTAAATTGGTTTGCTCTGAAGCCATCCCTTCCTGAGCTCAGACAAAAATCCGGAGGCTAAAAAACTGTGAGCTAGCTCCCAAACTAAGCTTAGAGGGAACACTGGTGGCATTTGAAGTGCTGTTTATTGGGGGGAAAGGATGCTATCACCTACCTCTAACGCTTTCGATTAATTTCGGTCTTGGAGGCTTTGGTTTGGGAGGTGGGGAGTTCATCCTGAGGTACGGCGATTTCTTCAGGGTGCTCCTGCGGCCCTGGTAGATCGGCCTCCCGTAAATCTGAGCGAGGTACCCTTCGTTCTGAACCACTGTACTCATTTTCGGAATCACCTAAATAGGGACAGAAAACTCCTTCTGAAATGTTCTGTAAAAAGGTCAGCGAGGCAAGAGCCGAGAGAGAACTTCCCTTTCTTAAAAGTTAAAAAGCACGTCAATTTCCCCAAACGTTTAGCATAGAAGAAGAAGAGATTGGATTTATACCCCACCCTTCACTCGGAGTCTCAGAGCGGCTGACAATCTCCTTTCCCTTCCCCTCCCCACAACAGACACCCTGAGAGGTTGGTGGGGCTGAGAGAGCTCTGATAGAAACTGCTCTTTTTCAAGGACAGCTCTGACAGAACTACAGCTTGCCCAAGGTCATCCAGCCAGGTGCAAGTGGAGGAGTGGGGAATCAAACCCAGTTCTCCCAGATTAGAGTCCACAGACTTAACCACTACACCAAACTGGCTCTGTTCCATTTGTTTCTTGATCACCTACCGGTACCGTGCCCTAACATGAATGGCCTACTCTAGCTCGATCTCGTCAGATCCTGAAAGCTAAGCAGGGTCGGGCCTGTTTAGCACTTGGATGGGAGACCTCCAAGGAAATCCAGGGTCGCTGTGCAGAGGCAGGCAATGGCAAACCACCTCTGTCAGTTTCTTGCCTGGAAAACCCCATCGGGTCGCCATAAGTCTACACCACCGCGATGGCTCTTTCCACCACCACCAGTACCGCTGGTTTTATTTCGGTGTAGACTGTTAAAAATCAGGCCACTGTTTCATTATTATTAGGAATATTATTGTTGTATTACTCCCATGTTTTATTGTGTTGGAGGTTTTTTTATTGTGTAGCTTGAATATTGCTGTTAGATTAGGTGAGAGTCGCATGATATCCATTTTAAAAATAAGTTAAACGAAGCAAAAAAGGCGGAGGGGGGGGAGGAGGAGGAGGAGGAGATTGGATTTATACCCCCGCCCACTACCTAAAGGAGTCTCAGAGCAGCTTACAAACTCCTTTCCCTTCCCCTCCCCACAACAGACACCCTGTGAGGTAGAAGAAGAAGAAGAAGAAGAGATTGGATTTATACCCCGCCCTTCACTACCCAAGGGAGTCTCAGAGTGGCTGACAAACTGCTTTCCCTTCCCCTCCCCAAAACAGACACCCTGTGAGGTGGGTGGGGCTGAGAGAGCTCTTTGGAGGACTGCTCTGAGAGAACTTGTGACTGACCCAAGGTCACACCAGCAGCTGCATGTGGAGGAGTGGGGAATCAAACCCGGTTCCCCCAGGTTAGAGTCCGCGCTCATAACCACGACACCAAACTGGATGCCAAGAACTGACCAATCCAGAGCCTTCGTGCTTTCTGCCAGTCAGAGACTAGATGGTGCATTCCTTTATTTCCTTCGGCGCCTGAGGTTTGAGCAAGCAGTCCGAGGAAGCTTACTTCAGGGGTCCCTAACATGGTGCCCGTGGGCACCACAGCACCCACGGACACCTTTCCTGGTTCCCACGAAGTGTTTTTAGAAAGTGGGCGGGGCCAGCTGGAGCTTCTGCCCAGCAACAGCTCTGATGGACCAATAGGATTGCTTTGGCACCAGCTGCCACCGCAGCACGAGGACCCTCACCGTGTGACTGAGGGCAAGCTGCGGCAGCCGTTTTGTGGCTGCCTCCATCTCCTAGAGCAGCCGTTTTGTGGCTGGCTCCACCTCCTAGAGCAGCCGTTTTGTAGCTGCCTCCTCCTCCTAGAGCAGCCGTTTTGTGGCTGGCTCCACCTCCTAGAGCAGCCGCTTTGTGGCTGCCTCCACCTCCTAGAGCAGCCGTTTTGTGGCTGCCTCCACCTCCTAGAGCAGCCGTTGTGTGCCTGCGCCCGCCATAGCATGTCAGAAGGCTCCAAAAGGTTGGGGACCAGTGTTCCCTCTAAGCTGAGTGTGAGCTAGCCCACAGTTTTTTAGCCTCCGGCTCACACATTTTTGTCTTCGCTCAGGGAGATTGGCTCCGGAGCAAACTAATGCATGCAGGAGTCAGATGGCTCGCTCACAACTCTAATGCCGGTAGCTCACAAAGTAGGATTTTTGCTTGTAAGACCCCACAGCTTAGAGGAGAGCATTGGTGGGGACCCCCCCCCGGCTTAGGTGCTGAGGGTCCCTAGTTCGAGCCTTACAGTCCCTAGGGTGGCCAGTTCCCCACTGAAGGCGGGGGGGTCCCCCAGCCCTAAGCCCCGCCCCCCTGTCACTGATCAGCTGGCCGGCAGGCAATTGCCCCTCTAAGCTGTGGAGTCCTGTGAACAAAAATTCTACTTTGTGAGCTACTGGCATTAAAGTTGTGAGCGAGCGATTGGGCTGCTGCATAAATTAGTTGGCTCTGGAGCCATCCCTTCCTGAGCTGAAACAAAAATGTGTGAGCCGGAGGCTAAAGAACTGTGAGATGGCTCACACTAACTCAGCTTAGAGGGAACACTGCCAGCAGGGGGACTTGCCAGGAGCAGGAGGGAGGCCCAGGCTACATCACCAGCGACAGGGTGATATTACTTCCGGTGTGTGCCAGAAGGGACATCAGCGACATCTGGGCAACGTTCTGGAATTTGGGCAAAAACTCTATGGCAGAAGTGATTTTTACCAAAGAGTCCTTGCCCAAATAACAGAGTGTCGCCGGGACATCATGAAGTGCTGACGTCACTTTTGGTACATGCCGGAAGTGATGCCGATACATCGCTGGCGACACAGCCTGCCCCCCCGTGCCCCCAGTAAGCCCCCCCCATCCTCCGTTGGTGGCCAGGAGGGACCTGGCGACCCTTACGCTCCCTGACGGTTACCACCAGTGTTCCCTCTGAGTTAGTGTGAGCTAGCTCACAGTTTTTTAGCCTCCGGCTCACACATTTTTGTCTTCGCTCAGGAAGGGATGGCTCCAGAGCAAACTAATTGATGCAGCAGCCAAGTCACTTGCTCACAACTTTAATGCCGGTAGCTCACAAAGTAGAATTTTTGCTCACAAGATGGCACAGTTTAGAGGGAACATTGGTTACCACCCCCCAAACTTCGCGTTCTCACATTACGTGCTGGTTTCAGAGCGGGCCTCGCGGCAGGCAGGGTCCTTTTGGCCGCGTTCCCTTGGGGATGCCGAGGTTCCGGTTTGGTTTCCCTGCTGGCCTTCACGGGCCTGACCGTCTGCTGGGTCCTTCGGAGCTCCTCGTCGGGTCTGCCTTCCTCCCGGGCTTTCCTTGCCATTTCATCCTGGACACAAAACACGGAAGCCGCAATCAAGGGGTATTCTTTAGTTGTTCACTAAACTAGATTTTAAACCGCCCTTCCCTGCGAAGGCCGGGCTCGGGGCGGCGCGCCACATAATAATATCACACAACCAACAAAAGCGCTTAAAAACAATAAATACTTATAACTGGATACTAACTGCTAATGATCTCCTTTCTTGGGCTTTTAGTCATAGTGTGGGTAAATTTACTTTCTTTAATCCTGGGGTGCTATTCCCTCCCCTTTTCTGTTCTTTATAGTTTGTAGGGTGTAACAAAAAATCAATAAAGCTACCCTGTCTTCAGGGGATTAAAAAAAACAAAAAAACCCCAATAAATACTTTGCATTGTCCGATAGGGTCGCTAAGAACGGTCCATCGAGATTTTTTAGGTTTTCTCCTAAAGACCGTAACTTCGGTCTTTGCGTAATTTATTTTACGCGCTTCCTCACTGTAGAAGTCTTCTCAGACCAATTTTAGTTAGGGATATTAAAACCGTTATCATCCGCACCAAGAAGAATGGAGATCTGTTTGTCGACCCAGTGCTGGAGGGGAAAATTGCGGACCTGAGAGAATCTCTGTTATGTCGTTGATGTACAAATTAAATAACGATGGAGCCAGCACACAACCCTGTTTCACACCTTCGCAAGACCCCATAAACTCTCTTATATATCACCTGTGAAATCCCCTAGGTGTTGGAAAGAATGCCAGCAAACAGGAGATTTTGCCCACTGCTGGCGGCGCTGTGTAAAAATTAAGACATTTTGGATGGAAATATTAGACATCATTCAGGTTGTTACCTCTGTACAAATCCCATTTTTACAAGAGATTTTATTCTTAAATGCTTGGCCACAGGAAGTAACTGCTAGATCACACAGGGATACCACTGAGGTTATGTTGGACGCTGCCAAAACGGCAATAGCATTTTATTGGACGGATGCTAAAGAACCAAATGTGGAGGTATGGTTCTGGAAATTATAGAATCACTATCTAATGGATGCAGTCACAAACAAACTGAACTATATGTCTCAAAGCTCAAACCAGGATAAGTTTACAGGAAAATGGTATCCAGTGCTTGACTATCTAAACAACAATATATCTCTTCTGAATGGTCCCAATTCCATAAATGGAGCTGATATTTAGATTCTTGATTTGTGACTGTTATTTTTACAATTTGTATTTTTATTTGTATTAATTTATTTATATATTTATTTACTTAATGATTCAGTTCAGTTATACATACTACAAGCCGTGCTTAACTTGTTGCAGTACGCTATCGTTTGCTGACAAGTTGGAGTGTTAATAATATGGTTATGAAGTTGTAAGTGTAACGCTCTATCAATCTAGTTTTGTATATATTTATTGTTGATTCATAAGAACATAAGAGACGCCAATGTTGGATCAGGCCAAAGGCCCATCCAGTCCAACACTCTGTATCACACAGTGGCCAGAAATACCAGGTGCCATCAGGAGGTCCACCAGTGGGGCCAGGACATTAGAAGCCCTCCCACTGTTGACCCCCCCCCCAAAGCACCAAGAAGACAGAGCATCACTTCCCCCAGACTGAGAGTTCCTATCTATACCTTGTGGCTAAGAGCCACTATGTTTATCTAATTCCCTCTTGAAGCCGTCCATGCTTGTAGCTGCCACCACCTCCTGTGGCAGTGAATTCCACGTGTTAATCACTCTTTGGGTGAAGAAGTACTTTCTTTTATCCGTTCTAACCCGACCGCTCAGCAATTTCATGGAGTGCCCACAAGGAGTTCTTGTATTGTGAGAAAGGGAGAAAAGTACCTCTTTCTCTACCTGCTCTATCCCATGCATTCGGCCTACACAATTTGTTATAAATATTATTCCAAAGTCTTGTTGTACATGTATGTAATTGTTCAATTCAATAAAGTCTTTAAAATGAAAAACAAAACAAAACATAACAGCTCGAGTTTCAGGGTCCCAAAAATGTAGGTCTGCCACTGGGCCTACAGCACCACAGAGGCCTCTGCCTGACCTGCTCCAGGGCCATTCCGCCTCCCCAACCCGTTCCTGGTGCTACCCCAGACTTCTGTTTTATTTTGCTGTCACAGACCAACACGGCTACTATGTTGCAATCTCCACAACAGCCCTGTGGGCTTATCCTCACGGTGTCAAAAGGGGGGGGGGCTGGCGGGCTTTGGACACCCATGTGGGTTTATGGCAGACGAGAGGCGCAAACTGGGGATTTCCAGCTTTGCAGCCTTGTAGAAGAGAGAGAAGAGATTGGATTTATACCCCGCCCTTCACTTGGAGTATCAGAGCGGCTTACAAAGTCCTTTCCCTTCCCCTCCCCACAACAGGCACCTTGTGAGGTGGGTGGGGCTGAGAGAGCTCTGACAGAAACTGCTCTTTTTCAAGGACAGCTGTGCCAGAGCTTGTGACTGACCCAAGGTCACATCAGCAGGTGCAAGTGGAGGAGTGGGGAATCAAACCCCGTTCTCCCAGATTAGAGTCCGCACACTTAACCACTACACCAAACTGGCTCTTGTAATGATCTTGGCAACCCTGGGTCTCCGCCGGCGTCACTACAGCGGCTGTTAGGACATTCAGTGATCGCAATATGAGGTGGGCTTTCCAAAGCGGAGGTAGCCCGCGACTTCGCTCGGCTAATGGCAAACGCACCTGGATTTCCAAGCTGAGTGTTTTAATCCATTCGTCGACGGTCTTTCTGACCCGTATCTCCTCCAGGACATCCCTAGAAAGATGAAGGGGAAAGACAAAAGGCGAAGACGCCATCACACGCTTGCGCTGAGTTCCGCTAGACTAACCCTCTCCTCCACCACGGCGGCCACATGGACCAAGTGCACAGTGGCAGGGAACCAGAGGAGCGCGAGAGCAAGGCAGACAGAGAGAGAAGCAGGCAAAGACACTATCCTCGGCGTGTGCCTGGATCAGCTCAGAATTGCCACTCCTCAGGGGGTTTTTTTGGTAGAAAAAGCCCAGCAGGAACGCATTAGCATAATAGGCCACACCCAACCGCAGAAACTCATTAGCATATTAGGCCACACCCTAACAGCACAGCTCATTAGCATACTAGGCTGCACCCCCGTGTTACCAGAAGTGTGGTCATCCAGCCACACCCACCTTTTGCTTCTTATTCTGTTTACCTTGTTTGTTGTCAAAACCAGGGCTTTTTTTGTAGCAGGAACTCCTTTGCATGTTAGGCCACACACCCCTAAAGTAGCCAATCCTAATGAGTGTCTGCTGTTGGGCGTGGCCTATTATGCTAATGAGTTCCTGCTGGGCGTGGCCAACGCGGGAGCCAGCCGGAACTCTGTTCCTGTGCGTTCCTGCCCAAAAATAGCCCTGCCTCTCCTACTTTGCCCACGTTCTCTAACAGTGAGCAGACTTGTTTGCATTTTGTTTCTGGATCTGTTAGTGTGGGGTTTTTTTTTTTTAAAAAAAGGTCACTGTTTTAAAATCCCATCATTGGAGCTATTCTCTTTTCATTGCACTCGCGTCTCTGTGTCAAAGGGACAAAAAGTCTGCTCCACTGCAAATGTTGTTTTTCCTCCCCTCCTCGAAACACTGGGAACTGAAGATCATTCACAATGTTATTTGCTTGAGGACACTCCGGCTCGAAGATAGTCACACAGGTACTTTTTGGACCTAAACTGGAAGATGTTCTAATTCAGCAGCTGTGCATTTGGCACCGGACACATGACTTTCATCTTTAAGAGGCCTCACAAACATCTTTGTCTTGTGTCTTTAGATCTTGCTGCTTAACCTTCCTTTTCTTGGTCCAGTGTCAACTTATCGGTTATCTCATTGTAATATGTATTATTGTTACGTGTGCCTCTGAGGAAGGCCCCAATAGGGCGGAGACGCGTCAGGTCATGTGTATTGGCCCTTGTGTTTAGGCCACTAATACTTTTTAATGAGGCTTTCATTGGACCCTTTTATGTTTTCAACTGTCTTTCTAATAAATACATGTATTTTTGTGTATTATAAGTTTCAACTAGGTTTTTAATATTGGCCCTTTACCAGACTATTCACAATGTGCAATTCTTGGGGCTGGACAGATCTGCGCCATCAATGTGCCAATAATCAGACCATGCGAATACAAGAATTATTTACAGGGACACAGCAAACTGAAACTCAAAAGCCTCAGAAATAAGTTTCTAAAAGAGAACCCCAAAACCCCTCTACCTTTAAAATATATGTGCAGTTAGAAGAAGAAGAGGAAGAAGAGGAGGAGGAGATTGGAGTTATACCCCGCCCTTCACTACCCGAAGGTGTCTCAGAGCGGCTGACAAACTCCTTTCCCTTCCCCTCCCCACAACAGACGCCCTGTGAGGTAAAAGAAGAAGAGATTGGATTTATACCCCGCCCTTCACTACCCGAAGGTGTCTCAGAGCGGCTGACAAACTCCTTTCCCTTCCCCTCCCCACAACAGACGCCCTGTGAGGTAAAAGAAGAAGAGATTGGATTTATACCCCGCCCTTCACTACCCGAAGGTGTCTCAGAGCGGCTGACAAACTCCTTTCCCTTCCCCTCCCCACAACAGACGCCCTGTGAGGTAAAAGAAGAAGAGATTGGATTTATACCCCGCCCTTCACTACCCGAAGGTGTCTCAGAGCGGCTGACAAACTCCTTTCCCTTCCCCTCCCCACAACAGACGCCCTGTGAGGTAAAAGAAGAAGAGATTGGATTTATACCCCGCCCTTCACTACCCGAAGGTGTCTCAGAGCGGCTGACAAACTCCTTTCCCTTCCCCTCCCCACAACAGACGCCCTGTGAGGTAAAAGAAGAAGAGATTGGATTTATACCCCGCCCTTCACTACCCGAAGGTGTCTCAGAGCGGCTGACAAACTCCTTTCCCTTCCCCTCCCCACAACAGACGCCCTGTGAGGTAAAAGAAGAAGAGATTGGATTTATACCCCGCCCTTCACTACCCGAAGGTGTCTCAGAGCGGCTGACAAACTCCTTTCCCTTCCCCTCCCCACAACAGACCCCCTGTGAGGTAGGTGGGGCTGAGAGAGCTCTTGACAGAAAATGCTCTTTTTCAAGAACAGCTCTTACCAGAACTACGGCTTGCCCAAGGTCATCCAGCCAGGTGCGAGTGGAGGAGTGGGGAATCAAACCCGGTTCTCGCAGATTAGAGTCCGCACACTTAACCACTACACCAAACTGGCTCTCTAATGTTCTATACATTTTATCCCATCCTTCCTCCGTGAAGGTCAAAGCATGTGAAGTTCCCCCCCACCCCCACAACAACCCTGCGGAGATTAAGAGAGCGACTGGCCCGAGGTTCTCCCAGAGCCATGAACCTCACTGAGTGAAGATCTGAATCTGGGCTGTCGCACCTGAGCAGGAATTTGACCCGATTGCCAAGATCTTGTCTGCCACTCTAACCACCACACTACACCGGTGCTCAGACATTACTAGGGAAGGGCATGAACCAGCTCACGAACGAAAAATCATGACAAATTTGGCCAGTTTGTGGTTTGCAAAGTGAGGCTTGCGAACTGGAGAGCTGCCACGAACTTCCATGGATTTTAAGGCAGTTCGTGAAGAGCAGAAAGCACGGGTTTAAAAGGGCTCAGAGAAAATTTAAACCCCCTGCTTTCTGATCCCTGGCCGCTCAGCTGTTTTTCACGGGGAAAACTCTGCTTTCTGCTCCCCTGAGAAAAGCAACGGGGAGCAGAAAGCAGGGGTCACAAACCGATACGAACTGGTTTGGTTTGTGAACGGACCTCCCAGTTCGTGGTTCACCCACAAACCACAAAAAAATGTGATTTGTGCCCATCCCTAGACATTCGTGCCCAGAAATTGCTCATATAAAATGTTTCACAAGCAGAAAAGGGAGTCTGAGATAGGCAATGCTTAATGAGGTTGACAGCTCTGGATTAGGAAATTCCTGCAGATTTGGGGGTGAAGCCCGGGGAGGGAAGGGTTTGGAGAGCTGAGGGACCTCACTGCCAACAGAGTCCACCTTCCAAAGTAGCCATTTTCTCCAGGGGAGGTGATCTCTGTCGCCTGGATATTAGCTGTCATCCCAGACCTCCAGGCCCCACCTGGAGGCTGGCAACCCTAATCCTTAATCTATTTTTTCTCCACACTTCTGCTTGCACAGGTACCCTAGCACATGTGGGAATCTTCCAGTGGATCCAAGCCAGGCTCTCTAACGCAGGGAAGTGAAGGCAGATGAAGAAGAAGAGGAAGAGGAGGAAGAGGAGGAGGAAGAGGAGGAAGAGGAGGAAGAGGAGGAGGAAGAGGAAGAAGAAGAGGAGGAGGAGGAGGAGGAGGGGAGGAGGAGGAGGAGGAGGGGAGAAGGAGGAGGAGGAGATTGGATTTATAACCCGCCCTTCACTACCCAAAGGAGTCTGGGAGCGATTTATAATCTCCTTCCCCTTCCCCTGTGAGGTAGGTGGGGGTGAGACTAGAGAGCTGTTTCGGAGCTGCCCTTGAGAGAACAGCTCTGAAAGAACTTGTGACTGACCCAAGGTCACCCAGCTGGCTGCATGTGGAGGAGGGGGGAACCAAACCCGGTTCTCCCAGATTAGAGTCCACCGCTCTTAACCACGACACCACACTGTACACACTACAGAAGCGCAGCAGCCCGAGTCCACCTGTTAGCAGTCAAAGCATCGATGAACAAGTGCAAGGCGGTGCCGTCCCTGGCACGAACGATGGCTTCCAGGTTTTCTTCGAGAACCTTCTTGTTCTTGCGCACCACTCTCAGGATCCTTTCAGCGTCCCTCACTATGGACTTGGGGGCTGTGGCCGTTTGAAGAATGGACGGCTTGGGGAGTGGCTGAGCTTCAGGAAGGCTCGGGGGAACCGGTTCTTTTGGCTGAAAGGGAAGATCAACAAAGCAGCTCTTACGAATCTAAAGGGGGCCTTGCCGGACAGACTGGCGATCTGGCCGGTCCGAACATATGCCTGCAGGAGTGGCCACTGTGCGAGACAGGACGATGGATTAGATGGACCCCTGGTCCGATCCAACAGGACAGCTTTAAAAGCGGATTAGATTAATGAAGGATAACGAAGGATTAGCCCTAGTGACTAAAGGGAACCTCCACGATCGGGGCAGTCAACCTCCGAATCCCAGAGCGAGGAGGCAGCATCAGGGGAAGGCCTTGGCCTCTCTGCCCTGTTGCTGGCCCTCCAGAGGAACTGGTTGGCCACTACTGTGAGACAGGATGATGGACTGGATGGGCCCCTGGTCTGATCCAGCAGGGCTCTTTCATTGTTCTAATGAAGGTCTTGGCTTCTCTGCCCTGTTGTTGGCCCTCCAGAGGAACTGGCTGGCCACTATGTGAGACAGGATGATGGACTGGATGGGCCACTGGTCTGACCCAGCAGGGCTCTTTCGTTGTTCTAATGAAGGTCTTGGCTTCTCTGCCCTGTTGTTGGACCTCGAGAGGAACTGGCTGGCCACTATGTGAGGCAGGATGCTGGACTGGACTGACCCCTGGTCTGATCCAGCAGGGCTCTTTTGACATCATTTTGGCACTGGATTTGCTCTTCTGCCTACCGGCAGTTTTAACTTATCGATTTTAACTTGCATTTTTCAATGCAGTTTATACAGTTTACATCTTAAGCCTCCTGGAGTCCCTGTAAGGTAGAAAGGTGGCTTATAAATGTTTTAAATCAAACAGATGAATAATAAAATATCAGCAAGCACTGCAGAATATGGCAGGGATAACTAGTATGCCTTGTTTGGACTGAGCATGATTTGAGTCCAGCATCGCCTGAAAGGCCAGCAAGATTGAGATATCGGAGGAAAGGAACTTTGACTCTCGAAAATCTTACTACCCTCGAAAACTTGTCCGTCTCTAAGGTGCTTGTCTATTGCAGGTCAACAAGGCAACCCGCCTGAAACCCCTTTAGTGTATTTGAGCTGGTCTGTTATCTGTTTTTGGCTCTGGACCTCGCACCTACAATGCTCAGAATCTCGTGTTTCACATGAAACGCTGCAGAAAAGGAACCCAACGCTGCCACACACATAAACCAAACAAGAGGGACCCCAAGCGTATACGATATACAAAGATAAAAAACACAAGGGTAGACCATCAAATAATTCACACATTTCAGAAGTTACCGATAGATATCAGTCTATTGCAACATAATAACAATGTGTCACAGATTCCATTCGAGACATGAGCTGTGCCTAGATTATTGTGGAAATCAGGTTCCAATTTTCAGCCGTACAGCTGAGGAAGAATGCTTTGAAACGTCTGGCATACCTAGGAAGGGCGTTTTCTTCGGCTGCAGAAGTCTCCTTGTTCTATGGGACATCCTCTGCCTTGTTTGTGGACTTTAAGGTCTTTTGGACACTGCTATAAAGGTAAAGGTAAAGGTTCCCTTGCTCGAAAGCCAGTCGAGTCCGACTCTAGGGTTGTGGTGCTCATCTCCGTTTCAAAGCCGAAGAGCCAGCGCTGTCCGAAGACGTTTCCGTGGTCATGTGGCCGGCATGACTAAACCCCAAGGCGCACGGAACGTGTTACCTTCCCACCGAAGTGGTCCCTATTTATCTACTTGCAATTTCTTGCTTTCGAACTGCTAGGTTGGCAGGAGCTGGAACTAGAGACGGGAGCTCACTCCGTCTTGCGGCACCCGGGTCTCGAACTGCTGAACTACTGACCTTCCGCAGCCTGCAGTTCAGCGTCTTAACCACCTGAGCCAATTCGACATTATTAACGGACCCATTGTTATTATGCTGCAATAGACTGATATCTATCGGTAACTTCTGAAATTTGTGAATTATCTGATGGTCTGCCCTTGCGTTTTTTATCTTTGTACAACACACACAAAGGCTTCTTAAACATTCTAACGCGAAGTTACAAGTGCTGCATTCGTAAGTAACACAATACCCAGAACTCACACCACAAGCATGCTTTGAGACATACTTCATTTATTAAGAATAGAACACTTAATAATCTTAGAGGAGTTTAAATAACACAAAGATTTCTTTTTTAAAAAAAAAATCTGTTTATTTGGGGGCCTCTGAGGAAAGATGACTCGACAAAAATAAAGCCAGTACCTTCATGAAACCATTCATGTCTGATTTCCATTCCTTCGCATCCTGTTAAGAAAGAAATAAAAGACTGTAACGGAAGTCAGCACTGACTCACAAAAGCTCATACCCTGCCACAAATTTTATTAAGTCTTTAAGGTTGTCACGGCTGGCGGATTGGGGGCCGTTTTGGCGGGGGCTTTCCCAGTCAGGGATCAGGGAGGTGATGCATATCTACCCCAGGACTTTGATTAGAAATATGTTCCCTGTAGATGGGCATCTTTTATTCAGATTTCAGCCTTCCTTACCTCTGCATAGAGAATTTTTGTTGTGAAAACGGCCGGATCAGGCCCACACCCCCAGCATGATGACGTCACTTCCGGGTGGCATCACAACGGCTGCCCCAATTTATCCCCAGAACAACTTTGCGCAGTGAGTGCAGCTAAAGGGAACCGACTTGCGCGAGACTGTTTTTGCTTCACAGCCAAGCAGAGATCAGTGCTCTGGAGCCGAAGCCCGAAGGCACCCTCTCTCTCCAGGCCTGGCATCCCTGAGATGCCGGGGAGCCACTCCATTTCTCTGTGCTACCAACTGTTCAGCCCTGACCTGGATGGACCCAGGCTACCCTGATCTCGTCAGACCTCGGAAGCTGAGCGGTGTCGGCCCAGCTTAGTATACGGATGGGGGACCTCCAAGGAGTACCAGGGTTGTGACGCAGAGGCAGGAAATGGCAAAACCACCTCTGTTCATCTCTCGCCGACTTGGACGGCCCAGGCTCGTCCCATCTCGTCAGAACTCGGAAGCTAAGCAGGTGCTCACAAGCCTTGGTCCGTATTTGGATGAGAGCAGTGTTCCCTCTAAGCTGAGTCAGTGTGAGCTCGCTCACGGTTTTCTAGCCTCCAGCTCACACATTTTTGTCTTCGCTGAGGAAGGATGGCTCCAGAGCAAACGAATTTAGGCATTAGCCAAATCGCTCGCTCACAACTTTAATGCCGGTAGCTCACAAAATAGAAGTTTTGCTCACAAGACTCCACAGCTTAGAGGGAGCATTGAAAGTTGCAGCCAACCCTTTGTGATTCCATGGGGTTTTGAAGGCCAGAGGTTAACAGAGGAGGTTTGCCATTGCCTGCCTCTGCATAGCGACCCCTGGAATTCCTTGGTGGCCCCCCTTCCGAGCAGTCTTCCCTCTAAGCTGAGTTGGTGTGAGCCAGCTCACGGTTTTCTAGCCTCCGGCTCACCCATTTTTGTCTCAGCTCAGGAAGGGATGGCTCCACAGCAAACTCATTGATGCAGCAGCCAAATCGCTCGCTCACAGCTTTCATGCCGGTAGCTCACAAAGTAGAATTTTTTGCTCACGGGACTCCAGAGTTTAGAGGGAGCGTCGGACAAGAGACCACGGAGCCCCTCCTGTACCTGCAGAATGCCCTGCATTTCCCTCCTCAGTTGACCGAGGTCCCGGAGCACGTCGTCGGCCTTCTTCGCTGTTCTCTCGATCGGATTGAAATCTTGAGCCGGGTTGGTGAGGACAGGGAAGGGCTTGGCCTGTGGGGCGACTGATCTGCACAGAAGGATGTTTTCAAACAGTCAGGGAGGTGACAGCTTCATTTTGGGAGGCGCTGCGAGTCAGAGCTCAATCCAGGCTGATGGACCCATTCGCTGACTTGTAGCCTTTGATAAGGGTTTCAGGAATCAGCGTAAAGAAGACTACACACGGCATGGAGATAGTTTCGGAAGGAAAGCACATTGGTCAGAAGAGGAAGAAGAAGAGGAGGAGGAAGATGAAGAAGAACAGGAGGAGAAGGAGGAAGAAGACGAAGACAATGAAGAAGAAGAAGAAGAGGAGGAGGAGGAGGAGGAAAACAAAGAAGACGGTGATGAAGATGAAGAAGAGAAGGAGGAGATTGGATTTATACCCCCCTTCACTGCCTGAAAAAGTTTCAGAGTGGCTTGCAATCCCTTTCCCTTCCCCTCCCCACAACAGACACCCTGTGAGGCAGGTGGGGCTGAGAGAGCTCTTGACAGAAACGGCTCTTTTTCAAGAAGAAGAGACTGGATTTATACCCCGCCCTTCACTACCCAAAGGAGTCTCAGAGCGGCTTACAAACTCCTTTCCCTTCCCCTCCCCACAACAGACACCCTGTGAGGTAGGTGGGGCTGAGAGAGTGCTGACAGAAACTGCTCTTTTTCAAGAACGGCTAATGGCTTGCCCAAGTTCATCCCGCAGCTGTGAGTGGAGGAGTGGGGAATCAAACCCAGTTCTCCCAGATTAGAGTCCGCGCACTTAACCACGACACCAAACTGGCTCTCTCAAACTGGAAAAAACGTTTTGACAGGAAGGGTTGTGCCACAGTGGAATGGGCTGCCAGGGGAGGTGGTGAGCTCCCCCTCACTGGCAGTCTTCAAGCAGCGGCTGGACAAACACTTGTCAGGGACGCTCTAGGCTGATCCTGCACTGAACAGGGGGTTAGACTAGATGGCCTGTCTGGCCCCTTCCAACTCTCTGATTCTATGATTCTAAGACACTGCGGAGGCAGGCAATAGCAAGCCACCTCTGCTTCTCACTGGCCTCGAAAGCCCCTTGCTGGGGGTCACCGTAGGTCAGCTGCGACTCGACGGCACTTTGCACCCACCCTGCCTTTTCTCATTCGGCCAGGGAATGAACGACCTTAAAGAAGCAGTGCTATATTGAGAGAAACCTCTTCTAAACATTTCAGCTGTTTGAACGGAGAGCAAGACACCACCGCCGGTCAGCTGAAAGCATCGCTCAGCTTTGGGGACTGCAACGAAGGTCCGACTCGGCCTCTCTCGATGACATGACCAATGAACAACCGGAAGGAGCGAAGGAGACCCTTGGTTACCTCTCTCTTCCCAGCGGCCAGGGCATCTTACTGTCGGCGGGCGGCTCCTTCCAGGAAGGTTCACTCTGGCCAAAGGGGGATTCTTGAGCATTCAGAATCTGCTCCAGAAATCTTCCTCCACCTAGAAGGGGAAAAGTATGGCAGCCAACAGGAAGGTATAGCAGGTGCATTTATTAGGCCCGCCCCCATTTCTATGGTTATAGAACTTTCATAAATGTTTGTCCACGACAACCGCACCCTGCCTCATACTTTCTTCAAAAAATGTCGTAAGAGCAATTATTGTGGCTAAACATGTTGGCTAGTTTGGTGTAGTGGTGAAGTGTGCGGACTCTAATCTGGGAGAACCGGGTTTGATTCCCCATTCCTCCACATGCAGCTGCTGGATGACCTTGGGCAAGCCATAGTTCTGATAAGAGCTGTTCTTGAAAAAGAGCAGTTTCTGTCAAGAGCTCTGTCAGCCCCGCCTACCTCACAGGGTGTCTGTTGTGGGGAGGGGAAGGGAAAGGAGTTTGTGAGCCGCTCTGAGACACCTTTGGGTAGTGAAGGGCGGGGTATAAATCCAATCTCTTCTTCTTCTTTTACCTCACGGGGTGTCTGTTGTGGGGAGGGGAAGGGAAAGGAGTTTGTGAGCCGCTCTGAGACTCCTTTGGGTAGTGAAGGGCGGGGTATAAATCCAATCTCTTCTTCTTCTTCTTCTACCTCACAGGGTGTCTGTTATGGGGAGGGGAAGGGAAAGGAGTTTGTGAGCCGCTCTGAGACACCTTCGGGTAGTGAAGGGCGGGGTATAGATCCAATCTCTTCTTCTTTTTCTTCTTGGCGGCATCCTACTGCTCCATTCAGCTAATGGCGGTCCCTTCCTCTGGTGCACAGAACACCTCTTGTTTTGTTTTTTGGGGGTTTTTTTTGTATTTTATATATACGTATGTATGTGCACGCGCACATGTGAATGTCTGTGCACCTGGAAGTCACGGCCACCTCTGGCGACTGCCCCCTACTGGGGGCCTGGAGGATATTCAGAAAGGTGGCTGAATAGTCCGCCTCGAGTCTCAGTGAGAAAGGAACATAATAAATGACATAAATTAAAGTAAATAAAATCAACTCCCCCCCCCCCGGCACAATTCCTAGGCACTAGAATTTCACACCACAAATCTGCTGAAGGCTGAATGGTCCTCTAACTTCTATCACAGAAACTGGGGGGGGGGGGGTTGGATTTATACCCCGCCCTTCACTCGGAGCCTCAGAGTGGCTTACAATCTCCTTCCCTTCCTCTCCCCGCCACGGACACCCTGTGAGGTAGGTGGGGCTGAGGGAGCTCTTTCGAGGACTGCCCTTGAGGGAACAGCTCTGAGAGAACTTGTGACTGATCCAAGGTCACCCAGCTGGCTTGACATGGAGGAGTGGGGACTCAAACTCAGTTCTCCCAGATTAGAGTCCGCCACTGTTAACCACTACACCAAACAGTGATAAGAGGGGGAAAGCTGGGTTTTGGTCAGAGGGCTCTGGAGAAGGTATGGCTCAGAGGCCTGCGAGCCACTACAAGTCAGAATATACAAAAGCTTGTCTAAACAGATCAATGGTGTAAGACAGCTCCATAGTTTTATATAGCATGACAGTATTTAATTCCCACTGATTTTTTTTTTTTTTTAAGTTGCATCTCTCTCGGATTTTTCCGGACTTTGCTATTTCTGGCCCCCAAGCAATCGTCCAATTTCAGGTCAGCAACATGTCCCCAAACTGTCGCTGCGGCCCCATCCGAGGCTCTTGGGATAGGGTGGGCTATCAAATAGTAAGAATGTCGCTCAAAAAAAAAAGGCTGGAGGATAACATTGCACAGGGAGCCCAGTAGGTCTACGGCTTCAAAAGGAAAAGCGCAGCATTTATTATTTCAAGATGGGTGACTGTGTCAAGTCTGTCTGCAGCGGTAGAAAACAGCAAGAGTCCAGTCGCGCCTTAAAGACTAACAAGATTCGTGGCAGGGGAGGACCTTTTGTGAGTCGCGGCTCGCTTCTTCAGATATTTATTTATGTAATCCGTTTGTACCTAGCCTTTCTCCCCAAGGGGGACCCAAAGCGGCTTATGTCCGTCTTCTCTCCTCCATTTTACCGTCAAAACAACTCTGTGAGGTAGGTCAGGCTGAGAGAGTCTGACTGGCCCAAGGTCACCTGGCCAGCTTCTGTGGCACAAGTGGGAATTCGAACCCAGGTCTCCCAGATACTAGTATGACACCCTTAACTATTACACCAGACCGGCTCTCAAGTGGTGGATCGGGCCATGGTAGCCCACGGGCATGGCCACAACAAACAGGGAAGAAAAGAAGAAGAAGAAGAAGAGGAGAGGAGATTGAATTTATACCCCGCCCTTCACTACCCGAAGGAGTCTCAGAGCGGCTTACAAACCCTTCCCCTCCCCACAACAGACACCCTGTGAGGCAGGTGGGGCTGAGAGAGCTCTTGACAGAAACTGCTCTTTTTCAAGAGCAGCCCTTATCAGAGCTACGGCTTGCCCAAGGTCATCCAGCCAGGTGCAAGTGGAGGAGGAGTGAGGAATCAAACCCGGTTCTCCCAGATCTCTCTCTTACTTAACCACAACACCCAGCTTTTGAACCCTCCTCCCTGTCTTACCTGGAGCCTCTTTATCAGGCGACCTGAGCACGTTTTCTTTTTGTCCAACCGGCTGCTCTCGCTTGGCCATTTTGTGAGAGATTTTGGCGTCTTTCGATACGGGCACGGGAGCGTACCGCCGTGGGGCGGGGGTCTTCAGGGGGGACTTCTGCCTCCGGCCGGCGCGATTCCCAAACTGCTGGGAAGAGGCTGAGATTCAGGAGGACAAAAGACAAACACCACGTTAGAGAACGCACACTGAACAGAAACCAGAAATGAAGATGTTGGATTCATCCCAATCGTTTATAGGAAAGGAAAGCCTTTCCGTGCTGGAGAAGAAAGACTTGCCTGTTTGCACCTGGCTAGCTTTTACTTTAGGGAGGGGCCGTGGCTCAGTGGGAGAGCATCTGCTTGGCATGCAGAAAGCCCCAGGTTCAATCCCCGGCATCTCCAGTTAAGAGACCTGGCAGAATATACTACTACGGTCGGGGCCCCAAAATTTACTAACTGTCCCGGGCCCCAGAGACGCAAAACTGGTCGTTACAAGGGCCAGGGCCTTTTCGGTGGCGGCCCCTGCCTGGTGGAACGAGCTCCCGGAGGAGATCCGGGCCCTGCGGGATTTGATGCAGTTCCGCAGGGCCTGTAAGACGGAGCTCTTCCACCAGGCTTTCGAGTAGGGGTCGCCGCCACCGCCACTCCCCCCCCCCGCTATAGTGTCGTTATGGGGGGTGGAAGAGGCCCTAGGAAGGGAACATCTGAACTTGTTAACATCTAAATAAATAGTGAAGCCACTAAATGACCACTGGGAATGCCTGGACATGGTCCGTCATCTTTTCTGGGGTTTTGAAATGGAAGATCATTGAGCACCTTAATTGTATTTGTATCGGATGGTTTTAAATTGTATAATATGTTTTAATATTGGAACAGTATGTTTTATCTGCAAGATTTCTTGCCCTGTAAGCCGCCCTGAGCCCTACGGGGGAGGGCGGGGTATAAATCTGAAAAATAAATAAATAAATAAATAATATGATGGGAAAGACCTCTGCCCGAGACCCTGGAGAGCTGCTGCCAGTCTGAGTAGACAATATTGACTCTGATGGACCCAGGGTCTGATTCAGTACAAGGCAGCTTCATGTGTTCAAGTGGTACTCTCTTTATTGTTCTTATGGCTTGCAGGACTGCCATCCGCATCCCCTGAGGTGGGGGCGTCTGCCAGGGCCCACAGACTGTGGAAGGTCCCACTGCTGCTGACTCCCTACTCACGGATTTCCTCAGATGCCTGGACTCACACCCTTCCACGGCCTGCTCGTGAGTGCTCTTCGTCACTTCTCTTCCCAGCTGCATGTGCTGCTGGAGAAGGGCCTGTGGGTGCTGCACAAAGCTCTGGCATCCCTGGTGACCACGGCAGAGGCACTCTGGCTGCACCCACCACCCAGCCCTACTAGGGCAAGGGGCATATGCAGGTGTAAGAGCAGGAGAGAAGCCACGCTGGAACAGGACAAAGGCCCACCCAGTCCAAAACAGTGGCCCAAACCTAGGTGCCATCAGGAGGTCAACCAGTGGGGCCAAAACTCCAGGAGCCTTCCCACTCTTGCCCCCCCCAAGCAGCAAGAACACAGAGCATGACTGTCCCAAACATCAGAGAAGCCATGCTGGAGCAGGCCAGTGGCCCCTCCAGTCCAACATTCTGTGTCACACAGTGGTCAAAACCCAGGGGCCATCAGGAGGTCCACCAGCAGGGCCAGAACTCCAGAAGCCCTCCCACTGTTGCCCCCTCCCAAGCACCAAGAAGACAGAGCATCACTGCCCCAGACATAAGAACATAAGAGAAGCCATGTTGGATCAGGCCAATGGCCCATCCAGTCCAAACACTCTGGGTCACACAGTGGCCAAAACCCAGGGGCCATCAGGAGGTCCAACAGCGGGGCCAGAACTCCAGAAGCCCTCCCACTGTTGCCCCCCAAGCACCAAGAAAACAGAGCATCACTGCTCAGGACACAAGAACATAGGAGAAGTCATGCTGGATTAGGCCAGTGGCCCACCCAGTCCAACATTCTGTGTCACACAGTGGCCAAAAGAACCCCAGGTGCCATCAGGAGATCCACCAATGGGGCCAGAACTCCAGGAGCCCTCCCACGTGTCCCTCCAAGCACCAAGAACACAGAGCATGACTGTCCCAAACATAAGAGAAGCCATGCTGGAGCAGGCCAGTGGCCCATCCAGTCCAACAGTCTGTGTCACACAGTGGCCAAAAGAACCCCAGGTGCCATCAGGAGATCCACCAATGGGGCCAGAACTCCAGAAGCCCTCCCACTGTTGCCCCCCAAGCACCAAGAATACAGAGCATCCCTGCCCCAGACAGTGTTTCATCTAGAGCTTGTGGTTGCCACTGATGGACAGTGTGGACAGTTGTGAGTGGGAGAGCTTGTGAGTGGGCAGAGGAAGGATGCACAGGAAGGTGGGGCACACAGGTTGGAGAGCAAGAAGGGGGACCTAGTAGTGGACACAGGGGGGGGCCCTGAACACTGCCCAGGGCCTCCCCGAATCTACAACCACCCCTGATGGTTTGGGCCAGCTATGAATGTGCTCAACTCGAATTAGAGCTGTTGCGCTCCCCTGTGACCGCTGCTACCCAAGGAGGGGCATGAATTTGTGAATCACAGTGCAGAGAAGATGGGAACAAGCTCTCAGCCTCAACTTAGAAGCTCGGACCTCAATCCTCCAATCAGCGTAACATAAACATTCGGTCTCTATCACACTAGCCCTAAACACGGCGCACGAAGGCTCATGTGGTCCACCAAAGTAACCACAGACTAATGAATAAACATAGAGTTTACATAGTAAATATAGTTAATAGCCAGGATTGTCATGTTATATTTATAAATTATACTCTTCCAATGGTTCTAATTCTTATCTTGTTGTAATCAATACCACCCCGTTTTTCCTGGTTATGTTTATCGTGTTATGTGCATTGTAAAAAAGTATAAAAACAAAACTAAAAAAAAAAAGAGAACATCATAAAAAACGTAGCTGAGCAGCAGAGCATAAGGATCCAAAACTTCAATCCCCAGCATCCCCAGTTAAAAGGACCAGATAGGAGGTGATGGGAAAGACCTCTCGCCTGAGTCCCTGGAGAGCTGCTGCCAGTCTGGGTAGATAATACTGACTCTGATGGACCAATTGGTCTGATCCAGTAGAAGGCAGCTTCACACGTGTTCATTCGTGGTTCTTTCTTTTGTACTCACGATAGCCCTTTGAGGTAGGTACAGCTGAGAAAGGGAGAATGACTGACCCAAGAGCAGGTGGAGGACCTCCCGTTACACCGTTCCCAAGTCTGTCTTAAGCTAGGATCATTATAAGGCAGCTTCATGTATTCTTTTTTTGGGGGGAGGGGATGCGACTCAACGGTAGACCATTTGTTCGGCACACAGAAGGTCCCAAGTTCAATCCCCAGCATCTCCAGTTAAAAGAGGCAGGTAGCTGGTGATGTGAAAGACCTCTGTCTGAGACCCTGGAGAGCAGCTGCCAGTCTGAGTAGACAATACAGATCTTGACGGACCACAGATTTGGTTTCAGTATAACACGGCTATATGCGTATCCATGGCCTTTTGACTCAGTAACAGATTGGATACAAGTGTAAAAAAACTGAGCAACATTCTGGGCTCTTTTACAGGTTGTGCATACATTTGAGGTGGTACTTTTAAAAAAAAAAAAAACCCAGACATCTCTCACCTTGCGCATTCCATGGATTTGTAGAGAATAAATCCCGTTGACGAGGCGATATCGGGTTGCCGAGGGGCCTGCCTGCATTCACTGCAGGTGCTGCTGCCGTTTGAGAAGGTGGGACGTTGCCGGCTTGAAAGCCACCCGAGTTCAGCGCCGAGTTGATTAAATGGGTCTGGGGGGGAAAAGGGTTACAGTGAATGGGGAAACCGCCGCACAGCTAAAAACTGTCATTTTCAGAAATACAGGAAATATGTGAAGCTGCCTTATACTGAATCACAAACTAAAAAGGTTAGTCAAGAATGGAAGAGGGCCAACTCTAAAAATCTAATTATGAAACATACAAAAATATACATGTATTTATTAAATGATAAGGGATGATAGGGAAATTGCTGAGAAGCTAAATGCATTTTTTGCCTCTGTCTTCACTGTGGAAGATGAGAAGTGCTTGCCCACTCCAGAACCACTGATTTCAGGAGGGGTGTTGAAAGACCTGAGTCAGATTGAGGTGACGAGAGAGGAGGTCCTAAAACTGATAGACAACTTAAAAACTGATAAATCACCAGGCCCAGATGGCATACATCCGAGAGTTCTGAAAGAACTCAAATGTGAACTTGTGGATCTCCTGACAAAGATATGTAATCTTTCCTTAAAATCTGCCTCCATTCCTGAGGATTGGAAGGTAGCTAATGTCACTCCCATCTTTAAAAAGGGTTCCAGAGATCCAGGAAATTACAGGCCAGTCAGTCTGACGTCGATACCGGGTAAATTGGTGGAAACCATTATTAAGGAAAGAATTAGTAGGCACATAGATGAACAAAACCTATTGAGGCAGGGAAGATCTTCCCCAGTGGTTAAACTTTGGAACAATTGTTTTCTGGTCTTTATCTCATATTTTGTATATGTATGATTGTATATATGTTTACATATTAGCCAACATGTTCTATTTGCATTAGACCTCTGAGGAAGGCCTGTGTAGGCCGAAACGCGTTAGGTCTATTTTATCAGCCTTTGTATTTTTATATTTGTCTATGAGGTATGAATGGGCCCTTATTTGTTATTTTAATTTGTGTTTAAGAACATAAGAGACACCAATGTTGGATCAGGCCAAAGGCCCATCCAGTCCAACACTCTGTGTCACACAGTGGCCAGAAATACCAGTGCCATCAGGAGGTCCACCAGTGGGGCCAGGACACTAGAAGCCCTCCCACTGTTGGCCTCTCCCAAGCACCGAGAAGACAGAGCATCCCTTGCCCCAGAGCCCCTATCTATACCTTGTGGCTAATAGCCACTGATCAGACAAACACAGCACAGGCTCCCGTCTTGGAGGCCTGTACCTGAATGTTCATTTGCTGCTGTTGCAGCGTTTCCAGATGCTGAAGCCGCTGCTCCATGAAGACAGCCATCTGCTTCTCCACCTCGTCGACTCTGTGACGGGAGGGAGGCCCCTCCAGCGGCTGGGCCTTGGAGGCGGCTTGCTGCTCGGCGACCCGCTGCAGCTGCCTGTCCGTCTCTTGTAACTTATTCAGGAACTCAGAGACGGAGTTCACTTTGGCTTCCAAGTCGCTCTGGACCTGGAGGCAAAAAAAGATAAGCAATTATTGAAATGCTGAGGAGCTGAGGAGGCCAGGCCCTCCTCTCCTTCTTGGGAGGTCTTCGAACAGAGGCTGGATGGCCACCTGACAGCAATGCTGATTCTGTGAACTTCGGCAGATCACGAGAAGGGAGGGCAGGAAGGGTTGCCTCAGTGCTTAGTTCTCCTGGCCCTTTCTGACACGCCCAGGGAAATGCTGGTCTGTGGCAATAGGAAAATCTCTGCGAGGCACACCCGGAGAGGCTCCTGTTGTCACAGGGAGGGCTCCTGTTTTCACAAGGAGTCACAGTGAGATTGGCAACGGGAGATTGGCAAGCAAGGCACATTCTTAGCTGCGTCTGCATAAGTCTGTTGTTTTACTAAAGAGTACAATGAATTGCTGAGAGCACACAAGCGTTGCAACATTCGAGGGTAATCTTGCCTGTGAAAAATACATAGTGTGATTTTTGCATAGAGGCCACTAACTGTAACATGTTCTCACTGTGCCTTGTGTGAGCTGTTTGATTCTAATAAAGACGCTGCGGTGAGCCTGTCAGTGGAGAGTTTGGTACAGAGAGAGACAGACAGACAGAGCCTGATCAGCTTCTAGAAATCTCTGTGTGCTGTGTCGTTCTTGAACCCTACAAAAGTCAACACTGGTCGCCACGTTGGGGTCAGGAAGCCATTGTTCTCCAGGCCAGTTTGGCCGGGGATCCTGGAGGGATTTTTTTGCCATCTTCTGGGCATGGAGCAGAGGTCACTGGCAGTGCTCCCTCTAAGGTGAGTTAGTGTGAGCCAGCTCACCGTTTTTTAGCCTCCGGCTCACACATTTTTGTCTCAGCTCAGGAAGGGATGGCTCCAGAGCAAACTAATTGATGCAGGAGCCAAATCGCTCGCTCACAGCTTTAACGCCAGTAGCTCATAGAGTAAAATATTTGCTCACAAGACTCCACGGCTTAGAGGGAGCCTTGGTCACTGGGTGTGTGCGGGAGGAAGGTATTTGTGAATCTCCTGCATTGTGCGGGGGGTTGGACTCGGTGACCCTGGAGGTCCTTTCCAACCCTACGATTCTATCATTCCTTAAGAACATAAGAGATGCCAATGTTGGATCAGGCCAAAGGCCCATCCAGTCCAACACTCTGTGTCACACAGTGGCCAGAAATACCAGGTGCCAGCAGGAGGTCCACTAGTGGGGCCAGGACATTTGAAGCCATCCCACTGTTGACCCCCCCAAGCACCAAGATGACAGAGCATCACTTGCCCCAGAGCCCCTATCTATACCTTGTGGCTAATAGCCACTGATGGACCTCTGCTCCATATGCTTATCTAATTCCCTTTTGAAGTTGTCCATGCTTGTAGCCGCCACCACTTCCTGTGGCAGTGAATTCCAAGTGTTAATCCCTCTTTGGGTGAAGAAGTACTTCCTTTTATCCGTTCTAACCCGACTGCTCAGCAATTTCATGGAGTGCCCACGGGTTCTTGTATTGTGAGAAAGGGAGAAAAGTACCTCTTTCTCTACCTGCTCTTTCCCATGCATAATCTTATAAACCTCAATCATGTCACCCCTCAGTCGTCGTTTCTCCAAGCTAAAGAGCCCTAAGCGCCTTAACCTTTCCTCATAGGGAAAGTGTTCCAACCCTTTTATCATTCGAGTTGCCCTTTTCTGCACTTTTTCCAAAGCTATAATATCCTTTTTAAGGTGTGGTGACCAACCTTCTCCTTCCTAACCAAAGCTGACTGGATGAAAGCAAAGGGAGGGGGGGGGTAATGCAAAGGGATTGAAAATTAAACGGCTGATACTAGTGATGCCCCTGTACAAACCTATAGTGGGGCCTCATTTGGAATCCTGTGTACAGCTCTGGTCACCGTATCTCAAAAAGGACATCGCAGAGCTGGAGAGAGTACAGAGGAGGGCAACCAAGATGATTTGGGAGCTGGAGAACCTTCCCTGTGAGAAAAGGCAGAAGAGTCTGGGACTTCTCAGTTCAGAAAAGAGATGACTAAGGGGGGACAGGATAGAGGCTTATAAAATTATGCATGGGGGGGGAGAGAGTGGACAGAGAGAACTTTTTCTCCCTCTCCCGAAAGACTAGAACTTGAGAGCATCAAATGAAGCTGATGGGCAGTAGGTTCAGGATGGACAAAAGGAAATACTTTGCTACACAGCAAGCAATTATAACCTGGAATTCAGAGGATATAGTGAGGGCCACAAGCACAGAATGCTTTAAAAGGTGATTACACAGATTCACAGAGGATAGGTCTATCAGTGGCTACGAGTCATGGTAACTAAAGGGAATCTCCAGAACCAAAGGCAGTAAACCTCGGAATCCCAGAGCCAGGAGGCAACATCAGGGAAGGTCTCGGCCTCTGTGCCCTGTTGTTGGTCCTCCAGAGGAACGTAAGAGCCCTGCTAAATCAGACCAATGTTCATTTAGTTCAGCATTCTGTCTCACGCAGTGGCCAACCAGCTCCTCTTCTTTACACAGAATTCACTGCCAGAGGATATAGTGATGGCCACAAGCACAGACCCACAAGCAGGGCTATTTTTGGGCAGGAACGCACAGGAACGGAGTTCCGGCTGGCTCCCAAGTTGGCCACGCCCAGCAGGAACTCATTAGCATAATAGGCCTCACCCAACAGCAGAAACTCATTAGGATTGGCTACATTAGGGGTGTGTGGCCTAACATGCAAAGGAGTTCCTGCTACAAACAAGCCCTGGGTTTTGGCAACAAACAAGGTAAAGAGAATAAGAAGCAAAAGGTGGGTGTGGCTGGATGACCACACTTCTGGTAACATGGGGGTGTGGCCTAATATGCCAATGAGCTGTGCTGTCAGGGGTGTGACCTAATATGCTAATAGGTTTCTGCTGTTGGGTGTGGCCTATTATGCTAATACGTTCCTGCTGGGCTTTTTCCACAAAAAAAGCCCTGCACAAGTATAGAGGAATTTGCATCCGCAGGTGTGTAAACAATTTGTATTTCTGTCTTAGTACTTGCATGGCTTGATTTTTGCATGTGCGCAAAAACGACGTGCCTGACAAACCCCACACCACCATGCCAAGTTCTGCAGCACGCCAGCTAAAGTTCCATCTAAGTTGCACGATCGGTTCCAGGTGCTGGATCTGGGTTTCTGGAAAGCAAAGCCAGCTTTCTCTTTTAGCACATACGTGCTTTCATGGTTCCAACTTGAAGAGGACCGTCCAAAAACCAGTCCCTTACTTTGAGAAGCGGAGCGGCAGACGCAATGGCCGCTGCGGTCGCCGCTGCGATGGTTGTCGCCGTATCCATCTCGCCGTGCGCAGACTTGGCCCTGTCTTTCTGGTCCTGGCAAGCGTTATCGAGAAGTTGCACTTTGACCTCTTTAAATACAGGAACGTTCTGAATTCTACAGACACAAGAGGAATGCACGGATTTTTTAAAAAAATCTCTTTTTAGAGGCAATCCCCACCCCCGCAATTTCTCGCTAAAGGAGGCACTTTCTTTTAAATCACATTTTTATTGGAAGTTTATTTTATTGATTTTATTGATTAGGCTTTTATCCCGCCCTCCCCCCGCCAAGGCCTTTTTTAAAAAGGCAATTAAAAAGTAGAGAAAACAGGGGAAAAGAGAAAAAAAAGAAATATAAGGAAAGGCTTCTGATTTTCCCTGCGGCAAATACAAGTGTGATTACCAAATCATCTCTTACTCTATGGGTACAAGGAAAAGCTCTCTCTTTTTTCTACTAATTTTCTTGTAATCATCAAACCACAAATCATCAATTCATTTATGTTTCATGCTGAAAGTCTCTAAGGGGTTTCCAGTCAACAATAAACGTCGTTATTGTCATTTCAAAGGAGCCACTTTCAATAAACTCCTTATAGAATCATAGAATGTTAGAGTTGGAAGGGACCTTGCAGGTCATCTAGTCCAACCCATGCACTCTGCAGGAGCACAGCCGAAAGATAGCCCTACAAAATACCCGAAAGATGGTCGTCCAGCCTCCACTTGAAAACGTCCAGCGAAGGAGCCTCCACCACCTTCCGAGGCAGTCTGTCCCACTGCTCAACCACTCTTACAGTTAGGAAGCTTCTCCTGATATTTAGCCGGTAACGACTCCCTTGTAATTTCCGCCCATTAGATCTAGTCTTGCAGTCCGGAGCAAGAGAGAATAGATCCTCTTCATCTTCTACATGACAGCCCTTCAGATACTTGAAGACTGCAAATCATGTCCCCTCCCAGGCTAAACATACCCAACTCTTTCAGCCTTTCCTCATAAGACTCGGATTCCAACCCTCTCACCAACCAGCTGCTGTCAAGCCAAGTCCCTCCCATTCTATATCTGTGCCTTCGATTTTTTGTACCTAAGTGTAGGACTTTGCACTCCTCTCTATTGAAATTCATTTTATTTGTCTCAGCCCACTGTTCCAGCCTATCTAGAGTCAAACACCATCAGATCAGTACCACTCATTTTTATTTGTTTGCTGGTTTGTTTATCAGGTCTTTAGTCTGCCCTCCCCAAAGCAGGGTCAGGGTGGATCACAACAAGACAGAGTCGGAGACTCGTTACAATAAAACGACATGACATTACAATCATGACATTACGTTACAAGCAGCCCTGAGCCTTCGGGGAGGGCGGGATATAAATCCAAAGAATAAAATAAATAAATAAATAAAAATCATTAAAACAGTAACATTCATGGCGTAGCAGCAATTACATTAAAAAACCCCTGTTAGGGCCACGTAGATGAGATCAACAGGTACTTCAGTAGATTGGGAACTAGAGCAGGGAGGCCAAGTGAGACGGACGCCCGCCGTCTCACTCAAAGGCCTGGCGGAACAGCTCCGTTTTACAGGCCTTAGCGGGATAAAAGAACTAGTACATTCTGTGGGTGGGCAGCAGTCCAGATTTATGAGAGCAAAATGGATGCAAAAATCTCCCTCGAGGACAAGTTGGTTAAGCTTTCTCATTTTCTCCAGCCAGCTTGGATTGCATACAGGGTAGCTCTCCCCCAGAGTAGCTCTCCTTTCGAACACTGGCACTTACCTCTGCTTGAATACAGCTCTTACAGCCTCCTTTTGTCCGGCATCATACTGGGAAATAAAAATGTCCGTCGCTGTAAAACAAAAACCCAGAACAGACTTGACTATCTTATTTAATTTAATGATGCTATAGGTCTGCCTTTACAGGTTAGGAGCGCTGACTGTAATCTGGGAGAACCGGGTTTGATTCCCCACTCCTCCACTTGCACCTGCTGGATGACCTTGGGCAAGCCGTAGTTCTGGCACGGCTGTTTTTTGGGTTTTTTTTTTTAAAAAAGAGCAGTTTCTGTCAGAGCTCTCTCGGCCCCGCCTACCTCACAGGGTGTCTGCTGTGGGGAGGGGAAGGGAAAGGAGATTGTAAACCACTCTGAGAGTCCTTTGGGCAGTGAAGGGCGGGGTATAAATCCAATCTCTTTTTCTTCTTCTTCAAGAGCAGTTTCTGTCAGAGCTCTCTCAGCCCCACCTGCCTCCCAGGGTGTCTGCTGTGGGGAGGGGAAGGAAAAGGAGATGGAAAGCCGCTCTGAGACTCCTTCAGGTAGTGAAGGGTTGGGTATAAATCCAATCTCTTCTTCCTCTTCAAAAACTATGTTTTACAGGAGCAGAACATAAGAACATAAGAGACGCCAATATTGGATCAGGCCAAAGGCCCATCCCGTCCAACACTCTGTATCACACAGTGGCCAGAAATACCAGTGCCATCAGGAGGTCCACCAGTGGGGCCAGGACACTAGAAGCCCTCCCATTGTTGGCCCCCCCCCAAGTACCAAGATGACAGAGCATCACTTGCCCCAGAGTCCCTATCTATACCTTGTGGCTAATAGCCACTGATGGACCTCTGCTCCATATGCTTATCTAATTCCCTTTTGAAGCTGTCCATGCTTGTAGCTGCCACCACTTCCTGTGGCAGTGAATTCCAAGTGTTAATCACTCTTCGGGTGAAGAAGTACTTCCTCTTATCCGTTCTAACCCGACCGCTCAGCAATTTCATGGAGTGCCCACGAGTTCTTGTATTGTGAGAAAGGGAGAAAAGCACCTCTTTCTCTACCTGCTCTTTCTAGAACTAGTGAGATAAGGTGGACAGGCCCAAGACTGTCTCACTCCTTACCTTGTCGTGGGTCAGACATGCTGGGAAGGGTAGGAAGATTCAGAATTAACAGCACAAATCCCAAACGCTTAAGTAAGTGAAGAGTGCCGTCGATTTGCAACCGACTTATGGGGACCCCTCAAGCGGTTTTTAAGACAAGAGATGAGCACAGGTGCATTTGCCATCACCTGCCTCTGCAATATCTTCCTTGGTGGTTCCCCATTCAAGTACCCACCCTGCTTGGCTTCCGAGCTCTGACAAGACACATCTGGTTTGGAGTATTAGGGCTGCTACTAACTTGGTGCTTACACTTTAAAAAAAAAAGCCACTTCTGTCCATTTCAGAGTTAATTAAACAATACCTTGACAAACGCAACACCTGGAAGAAATGTTGCCCTGTGTTGGTACTCAGAGACAGCACAAGCGGGAAAATGTTGAATGAGGTTCTCGTCAAAGAGGGAACGTTTCATGTTCCTCAGCAATCCTAAAATGCTGTACAATTGTATGAAATCACAGCGTGGTGATGCATATATGCACATTACAATCAGATGCATCCCTATTCCCATACTGGTGATGTGCCCTACCCTCTGTCCCTTCCCCACAATGTTTATATGCCATTTCTGTTTCTTCGGCATAGATCCCTTATACGCGTCCTCCTTCTGTTCATCTCACTTCATCTATTCCTCGTTTCCAGTTAATCAAAGTTAATCGTTAGATCTTCTTCCTTTTTTAGTCCTTCTTAGGGCTGAGAGAGCTCTTTTCAGAACTGCTCTTTCAAGGACAGCTCTTGTCAGAACTATGGCTTGCCCAAGGTCATCCAGCAGCTGCAAGTGGAGGAGTGGGGAATCAAACCCGGTTCTCCCAGATTAGAGTCCGCACACGTAACTACTACACCAAACCACTACACCAAACATAAGAACATAAGAGAGGCCATGTTGGATCAGGCCAGTGGCCCATCCAGTCCAACACTCTGTGTCACACAGTGGACAAAACCCAGGTGCCATCAGGAGATCCACCAGTGGGGCCAGAACTCCAGAAGCCCTCCCACTCTTGCCCCCCCCCCAAGCACCAAGAAGACAGAGCTCCCCAGACAGTGTGTTCTACCTATACCTTGCGGCTAGCAGCCACTGATGGACCTCTGCTCTACTCAGTCAATCAACTCTTGTCGCAAAACTGATCCAAAGACAAATAAAAGCAGGTTCTTAAGTTAAAGTACCTTTTTGTTTGTTCCCATCTCCTATAGCTTGCAAAGGAAGAGGTACTGAAGCTTCAGATGAACATTCCTGTGGGGGGAGAAACAGTGAAATGAGCTTCTGTCCTATAAATTAAAAACATTTGTACGAGTAGTTGATTCTCAAGGAACAGGGAGTACCAGTGTTAAATAGCGATGTAAAACATTAAATGTTTAAACAATAAGGATTTGTTTACCATGTATATCTTACTGTGAACATTTACACAGTTTCCAAGGCTTGGAAAACTGGCAAAAGGTTACCGTGCACTGCAAGACCATCTCTTTTCCAGTAAATTTTGTTGGACCCCTGTTTTTTAATGTCTGTTTGTATGTTTGTATTGAATTATTGTATATTTACTTTTAAAATATTTTTAATGTCGAAATGTTTGATGCTCACTTCCTTGGGGGCCCTATTTAGGTGGAAAGATGGCACAGAAATGTTTTAAACGAGACATATGAGAGCCAGCGTGGTGCAGTGGTTAAAGCGTTGGACTGGGATCTGGGGAAACCAAGTTCAAAATCCCCACTCGTGCCACGGGAACTTGCTGGGCGACCTTGGGCCAGTCACACACTCTCAGAATAACCTACCTCACAGGGTTGTTGTGAGGACCGGAGGAGGAGAGGAGAACGACATAAGCTGCTTTGGGTACCCCATTGGGGAGAAAGGTGGGATATGAATAAAATGCATAAAATAAAATAAATACGGGCTTTGCTGTTCATCTGCGGGACAAGACTAACACTGGAGCATTTTAACATGTTCCTTTTTCTTGACTATTGAGCTTACTTAGGAGCCTTTGATGAGGAACTTTATCAAATGTTTTCTGGAAGTCAATGTAAACAACATCTATTGGGTCCCCCTTGTCCACATTTGTTCACTCCCTCAAAAAACACTAACAGGTTAGTGAGACAAGATCTTCCCTTACAGAACCCACGCTGAGTCTGCCTCAATAGTTTTTGTTCATCAATGTGCCTACTAACTCTTTCCTTAATAATAGTTTCTAACTTACCCGGTATTGACGTCAGACTGACAGGCCTGTAATTTCCCAGATCTCCTCTGGAACCCTTTTTTAATTGGTGATGTGAAAGTTCTCAGCCTGAGACCCTGGAGAGCTGCTGCCAGTCTGCCTAGTCCTTTTACTTGGAGATGCTGGGGACTGAACCCAGGACCTTCTGCATGCCAAGCAGATGCTCTGCCACTGAGCCATGGGCCCGGCCTAACTGCTGTTACTGACCACCTGCACAAGGTTTGGTGAGTCCCCTGGGAGAGGCATTTTGCAGTTGTGGAACAACCCCCAAGCAGGATGTTCCACCTGCCCCTGCTGGTCACGCTTGGTCTTAGTCTGCTGATCTTAGAGATTTCGTTAGATCATGGGGAGGGAGGACGTGTCTTTTGGCAAAGCATAAGCAAAGGCAGACAGTCAATCTTCAGGTACTCGGGTCCCTAAGACTGCAATCCTCAACAGAGTGACACCCTTCCAGCTCCGCTTAAAAAGATGTAAATCTGCTTAGGACTGGCACTGCGAGATGGGGAAAACTAACATGTGATGTATCCTTGGGAGGCTGAACACAGAATAACTGAGGGTGCTTTACCTCTTTTTCACCGGAGGGTAGCTGCTCTGAGCTTCTGCTGGCATGCGTGCATACAGCACCTAGAACAAGAAAGACAATGGTGCTATACAACTAGTTGAGAACCAGTTTAACGTAGTGGTTAAGAGCGGTGGACTCTAATCTGGAGAACCAGGTTTTCACTCCTCGATGTGAAGCCTGCTAGGTGACTTAGGGCCAGGGCCAGTTCTCTCAGACTCATCAAGATGAGTAACCGTGTTAGTCTGTCTGTAGCGGTGGAAAAGAGCAAGAGTCCAGGAGCACCTTAAAAACGAACACATTTTGTGGCAGTGGAGGAGCTTTTGTGAGTCACGGCTCACTTCTTCAGATATCTGAAGAAGTGAGCCGTGACTCACAAAAGCTCCTCCACTGCCACAAAATGTGTTCGTTTTTAAGGTGCTCCTGGACTCTTGCTCTTTTCTCCCGCTACAGTTCTCTCAGAACTCTCTCAGAACCCCACCTACCTCACAAGGCGCCTGCTATGGGGAAGGGAAGGCGATTGTAAGCTGCTTTTGAGACTCCTTAAGGTAGAGCTCCTTAAGGAGCTGCGGTGGCTCAAGTGGTTAAAACGCTGAACTGCAGGCTGTGGAAGGTCTGTAGTTCAGCAGTTCTAGACCCGGGTGCCGCGTGACGGAGTGAGCTTCCGTCTCTAGTTCCAGCTCCTGCCAACCTAGAAGTTCAAAAGCAAGAAATTGCAAGTAGATAAATAGGCACCACTTCGGTGGGAAGGTAACAGCGTTCCGTGCGCCTTGGTGTTTAGTCATGTCGGTCACATGACCACGGAAACGTCTTCGGACAGCGCTGGCTCTTCGGCTTTGAAACGGGGATGAGCACCGCAACCCTAGAGTCGGATTCGACTGGCTTTCGAGCAAGGGAAACCTTTACTTTAAGGTAGAGAAAAGTGGGTGTAAAAACCAAGAATTGCCATTGTGACTTGCAATCCTACCCTCCTCCCATAATATGGCTTAATTCTGAGAGAAAACTGTAGAACCCAATTCTGAAAAATGTTTTGCACACAGAAGCCCAAATAACTCCTGCAGGGTAACACTTAACATGCTGGGTAGAGGCCCGGTGCATGTTGCTAGTCTATAGTAGGAGTCTGTCAGCACAATTACAATCCGTCTAGCTAACAGAGTAAGCGTCTTCCAGTTTCCCCGGCACAGAGGCTGAAGTCCTCCCCTGATGTTGCCTTCTGGTACTAGGATAGGATAAAGTTTTATTTACGGCCCAAAGCAAGCAGTTAACATTTGAAACACCACAAACTAGTAGTAAAAAACACCCATGAATAAAGGTTAAAAGGCTTAAGGTACTAGGATTCAGAGGCTGACTGCCTCTGAATGTGGAGGCTCCGTTCAGTCACCATAATTTTCTGTCTAATCTGTCTAATGCCCTTTTAAAGCCATCTGTGCCTGTGGACATCACTACATCCTCCGGCAGCGAATTCCATATTTTAATCACTCATTCTGCAAAGAAGTATTTCCTTGGTTATGGTCCGTAAAGTTAGGCGATAATCCCAGATAAAACATCACAGATCCTGATGCTAAATAAAGCTATCACAAATCTTGTACGGATGCAGGCGGCGGGACTGCAAGAAGATGAGAAACATATTACAAGCAGTGTTCCCTCTAAGAAGAGTTAGTGTGAGCTAGGTCACAGTTTTTTAGACTCCAGCCCACACATTTTTGTCTCAGCTCAGGAAGGATGGCTCCAGAGCAAACTAATTTATGCAGCAGTGAAACTGCTCGTGCCCCACTTTAATGCCAGTCGCCCACAAAGTAGAATTTTCGCTCACGAGACTCCACAGCTTACAGGGAGCACTGATTACAAGCATACCTTCTGTTGTCGTCCTAGGAGTTGCAGCCGTTGGCTTTTGAGACACAGATCTGTTTGCCGGTAAGGCACGGGGGATATATTCCTCATCCATCAAACCAGAATCTTCTGGGTGACAGGGAGGAGGCACCTCCCGCAGCTTCTTCACTGAAATCCGGATACGTTCTCGAATGGGAGCGGCGGGTTTGCCTCCCGCCGACCGAGAGGGGACTGACGTTGGTTTCATGTGGAAGCTCGTGGAGCGGATGAGGACATCACCGGCAGTCAGGCTAACCAGAGAATCGTCACTCGAGCCAGAATTCGCTTCTGCTTCCATGAACCGTTCGTGAAGCGGTGCTCAGGCCTCGCCTCTGTGGAACGAAGGAAGTGCGACGTTACCAAGCCAGTGTAGCGGTTAGAGAGCTGGACCAGGAACTGGGAGACCCGGGTTCAAATCCCCACTCCGCTATGGAATCTCTCTGGGTAACTTTGGGCCAGTCACACACTATTGACCTAGCCTACCTCACAAGTCTGTTGGGAGGATTAAATGGAGGAGAGGAGAATGATGAAAGCTGCTCTGCGTCTCCATTGGAGAGAAAGGCGGGGGATAAATGAAGTAAATGAACAGAAGAGTGGAGAAAAGAAGCCACAGAACAGAACTGCAGATTATTTCAGTATACAGTCTCCAACAGCAGACAGCCATGGAGAAGGGGCCGTGGCTCAGTGGTAGAATGTCTGCTTGGCATGCAGAAGGTCCCAGGTTCAAACCCCGGCATCGCCACTTAAAAAGCAGGCCCTGACCTGGATAGCCCGGGCAAGCCCGATCTCATCAGATCTTGGAAGCTAAGCAGGGCCGCCCCTGACAAGTACTCAGAAGGGCAACCTCCAAGGAATACCAGGCCCAGGACGCAGAGACAGGTAATACCAAGCCACCTCTCTGAAACGTCCAAGCCCCGCAAGGGAGTTTCCAGAAGTCACCATGGCTTCCAGTTTTGCAAGCACATACAAACAAACACACACAGAAGAACATAAGAGAAGCTAATGTTGGATCAGGCCAATGGCCCATCCAGTCCAACACTCTGTCTGTCACACAGTGGCAAAAATACCAGGTGCCACCAGGAGGTCCACCAGTGGGACCAGGACACTAGAAGCCCCCCCACTGTTGACCCAGAGTTCCTATCTGTACCTTGTGGCTAATCTCTGCTCCATATGTTTATCTAATTCCCTCTTGGAGTTGCCCAGGCTTGTAGCCGCCACCACTTCCTGTGGCAGTGAATTCCATGTGTTAATCACTCTTTGGGTGAAGAAGGACTTCCTCTTATCCATTCTAACCCGACCGCTCAGCAATTTCATGGAGTGCCCACAAGTTCTTGTATTGTGAGAAAGGGAGAAAAGGACCTCTTTCTCTACCTGCTCTACCCTACGCATAATCTTGTCAACCTCGATCATGTCACCCCTCAGCCGTCGTTTCTACAAGCGAAAGAGCCCCAAAGCTCCCTAGAGATAAGCCACAGTGTCCCCCACCCCATCACTAGGTTACCTGAGGCCCTCCTGCTTCTTCCGCCCCACAGCGCGCGCGCCCCCCCCCCCTACGTACCCCTCCCTGAGGTCTGCCCGAACCCCGCCGCACCTGAGCAACCACCCGCCGGAAGTCCGGGTTGGCATGGTAACGGCAGCACCTGCGGTTCACAACGCCCGCCGTTAACAAACTGACAAGTTTGGCCCAACCCCTTCCTGGACCGTGAGGCGAGGCGTGCCTCTGTGCAGCGAGCGCGCACGCGCGGTCAGGCCGCCCTCCTTTCGATTAGAGAGGGAAAGACGGTTCCGCACAGCGTTTCCGGGACTAACGCGCATGCGCCTTAGTTTCTTTTCGCCGTTTCCTGGAATGGTCCTGTTCACTAAAGGTCCGGGTAGAAACAAGTACACCACGGAAGGGTTCCGCTGCAGGCTTAAGTTGCATAAGTCTGTCGTTCGGTCCCGCTGTGGCGGTTCAAAGGTAACTGTGTTTTGGGACGTAGGATGAGCCCTGGTGTGCTTTGTAGATTTGATGGGGGGACTCTTTAGTGTGACGGACCACACGTGGTAGATGGAAAGTAAAGCTATTCGAGGGGTCCACCATCGCCGATTCCTTTCGGGCACAAGGTAGGGGAGACGGGCGAGGGCGTTCGAGGTGCCGGGGGAAGGGTTGTTGCTTGTGGGCAGCGGAGGTCGGAAGGGGAAGGACTAGGGGAGTCTCTGGTTTGGGTAGTGGTTTGGATGTTCTGTTCCCCCCCCCCCCCATTTTCCGTGGCCTTCACTGGCCTTGCTCCGGTGCCTTTAACAGCCTGAGAAGCAAAATGCAAACTGGGGGAGCTTTTCCCGCCTTGAAGGGGTGGAGGGGAGTAACCTTTTTACGTCTCGGGAGTCGGGCTACTGTCAAAGGTGCAGAAGCAAAACCGCTTAAGAAGTGGCAGCCAATCCCGTGGAGAGAAGGGGGGGGGGGGCTCCTAGTTCTGTTCCTTTAGGGTTCGTGATAAGGGCGAATAGGAGGAGGGCAAGCAGGCACCGTGACCTTGGCAGTGTGGTACCGAGTTTACTTCTATTAGGAAATATCACTGGAAGTCTTTGAGCAGCGTCTGGACAAACTTGTCAGGGATACTCTAGGCTAATCCTGCACTAAGCAGGCGGTTGGACTAGATGGCCTGTTTGGCCCCTTCCAACTTTGGGATTCTAGTTGTGGAAAGCCAGTGAGGTTAAAAGACGCCTGCTCCTTGGGAGGAAAGCGATGGCGAACCTAAACAGCATGATAGAAAGTAGAGACATCACCCTGCCAACAAAAGTCCGCATGGTCAAAGCAATGGTATTCCCAGTAGTCGTGTATGGCTGCGAGAGTTGGACTATAAGGAAGGCCGAGCGCCGAAGAATAGATTCTTTTGAACGATGGTGCTGGAAAAGACTCTTGAGAGTCCCTTGGACTGCAAGGAGATCAAATCAATCAACCCTAAAAGAAATCAACCTTGACTGTTCCCTGGAAGGCCAGATAATGAAACTGAAGCTCAAATACTTTGGCCACCAAACGAGAAGGGAGCACTCACTGGAGAAGACCCTGATGCTGGGAAAGATTGAAGGTCAAAGAAGACAGGGACGGCAAAGGATGAGATGGCTAGACAGTGTCATCATCGATGCAATGAACATGAAGTTGAGCCAACTTCAGAGGACGGCGGAAGACAGAAAGGCCTGGCGGGAGCTGGTCCATGGGGTCATGAAGAGTCGGACTCGACTGTGCGACTGAACAACAAGTGAGGTTTACTGTATAGCTAAAAGCAGTGTGGGTTATGGAGACCAACGAGAAAGACCTCTAATAAAAACAGCCCTTTATTATTTATGTAGTGTGATCAACCATGGTAGAGCTGTACAGAGAACAAGCCCTTGCCCCCATGGAGCTTACAATCTAAAATATGAGACAGAAGGGAAGAAAAACCTGTGGCAGTGGGGATAAATGGGGATGGATGGATGCTCATTTATTCCAGTTGGACGTGCTTAAATTTAGCGGTTTTCCTAAAAACAGTTATAGTCTGTCATAAAAGGTAACAGGGAGCTGACCCCTTGATAAGAAAGTAAGACCCCGGAAGCTTAAAATCCCACATCAGCCATGCATTAACTGAATGGCCTGGCTGCACCTTTCAGTTTTTGTACCCCTGGATTTTGAAGGTAGGTATGATATGACTTACTGTGGTGTTCCCCATTACTATCTATGGGTGTGAAAGCTGGAGAAAGCGGAGAGGAGGAAAGTTGATTCATTTGAAATGTGGTGTTGGAGGATAGTTTTATTGATACTGTGGTCTGCCAAAAGGACAAATAAGTGGGTCCTAAATCATATCAAGGAGCTGCGGTGGCTCAAGTGGTTAAGACGCTGAACTGCAGGCTGTAGAAGGTCGGTAGTTCAGCAGTTCGAGACCGAGCTGCCGCATGACGGAGTGAGCTCCCATCTCTAGTTCCAGCTCCTGCCAACCCAGCAGTTCGAAAGCAAGAAATTGCAAGTAGATAAATAGGAACCACTTCGGTGGGAAGGTAACAGCGTTCCGTGTGCCTTGGTGTTTAGTCATGCCGGCCACATGACCACGGAAACGTCTTTGGACAGCGCTGGCTCTTCGGCTTTGAAACGGAGATGAGCACCGCAACCCTAGAGTCGGATTCGACTGGCTTTCGAGCAAGGGAACCTTTACCTTTACCTAAATCACAAGGATTGGGTCAGAGGCCTGGAGGAGAGGCGCGACTTTTAAAGATGATTGGCACACACACACCCCTACATGGTAGACCAGCAGGACTATCTGAAATTCTTTTCCCAGGAGTATGGAGCGGACATTGGGGGGGGGGGATATATGTTATTGCCTGAGGCCAAGTCTCCATCTAGGACCTTGCATATCTGGCTGTTATAAGAGGGCTTTTGCTAGTTCTGAATGAATATTGACTAGCAAACACTTTGTTATTAACGCACAGGGCTGCCAGCTCCATATTGGGAAATACCTGGAGATTTGGGGGGGTGGAGCCTGAAGAGGGGCAGGGTTTGGGAGGGGAGGGGCTTCAGTGGGGTATCATGCCATAGAGTCCACCATCCAAATTAGCCATTTTCTCCAGGTAAACTGATGTCGTTTTCTGGAGATCAGTTGTAACAGGAGATTTCCAGTTACCAACTGTTCATGCGATATCTCTTTGAAGCCGAACATTTAGCTTTATTTGGCTCATAAACAAAAATATACAGGTGGGGCGGGGAGGAAGAGAGCCACTCCCAAATGCTTAGCACTCTTAGGGTGCATTCAGACGGGCATTTATGCCGCTATAGATGCCGGTTGGAATCGGTGTACTTACGGGCGATCACACGGCGAACATCTGCCTTCCGTCCCTAACCGTTGCAAACAGCCTTTAAACCGTTGTATTCTGCTACTAGGTCCCCAAGTGGTGGTATCCTGAGTGCACCGGTTCCAGCCGCATTATCCCCGTCTGATCGCTCCCCGCTGGTGTAGAGCCACTTCCGTTCGGAAGCCCGAGGCTTCCGCTTTTCAGCCATCTTTTTTTTTTTAAGTATGCGATGTGCGCTTGGGCAAAGCTTCACCTTGTCGTTAATATTTTTTTTTTTAAAAAAGGCGCCTAGTGTAAGGCTTTAGACGAGTCCGGGACCTCACGGAGGCCAGTTTCAGAGTAAAAATTTAAAGGGACGTCTTCACTTCAAGGCATGCTTTCCGGGTTGGTTGTTCTGTGCCTGCGCAAAGATCTTCATTATAAGGAAGCCTGCCTATGCGCATGCGCAAATTGTGTAAAAAAAAAAAACACCCGCCAACGCGCTCTGCTGAGCACCTGAAGTGTGGATGGGCATATCACGATGTGCTGCGCAGTCAGGAGGTGAGTGTGATTGCGTTTCTTCCAGATCAAACTGCTCAGGTTCCAACCGGAGCAGTTTATGCTGGCTAAAATGCCCCGACTGAACGCACCCTCACACTCTCAAGGTATTGTTCTCCGAAGGTACTTTTCACTCACTCACTTCATCTCCTCCCCTGCTTCTCCCTCTGAGGACATATAAAAATAAAGAAGGGTTAGACTGTGGGGTATTCTGTTTCAGGTATTTCTATTTCAAGTATTTTTAAAAAATGAATTCTGACCTGGATATCTTCCATTCAGTTTAGGTGGTAGATTGGCAGCGTACTGAAATATGGCCGGGCAAATATCGGAATCCGACCAGATCAAGCAGGTAAGGTACTGCAGATCACAACTGGAAGGTGGGACTTTCTTGCTTTCCCCCTCTTCTGGCAAGCCTGGATAAAATTCCACTAGACACGTCAACAAGGAGGAGGGACTTGGGCAAAATTGCCTCTTTTTTCCTTTTGCACTGGGGGGAGGGGGAGTGTTGTTGGCTTTTCATAGGGTCTAACCCAGGGCTCAAATACTTTGGCCACCCAATGCGAAGGGAGCCCTCACTGGAGAAGACCCTGATGCTGGGAAAGATTGAAGGTCAAAGAAGAAGGGGACGGCAAAGGATGAGATGGTTAGACAGTGTCACAGATGCAACGAACATGAAATTGAGCCAACTCCAGAGGCCGGCAGAAGACAGGAAGGCCTGGCGGGATGTGGTCCATGGGGTCGCGAAGAGTCGGACTTGACTGTGTGACTGAACAACAACAAAAACCCAGGGGTTCCCAACTTTTCCAGCTTTCAGGCGCCTTTGGAGTTCTTACACAGCGTGGTAGGCGCAGAGACAAAATGGCCACCACAAAATAGCTACCGCAAGAGGCGGAGCCAGCAATAAAATGACTGCCGCAGCTTCCCTTCAGTCACACAGTGAAGATCCTTGTGCTGTGGTGGAAGCTGGTGCCAGTTTGGTGTAGTGGTTAAGTGCGCGGACTCTAATCTGGGAGAGCCGGGTTTGATTCCCCACTCCTCCACTTGCACCTGGCTGGATGACCTTGGGCAAGCCGTAGT